AAAGCCAATAAACAGGCAACCGCAAAAGTCACAAAACAATAAACGTTGATAAAAAAAAAAAACTTAAAAAGAGCAAGAGAATGAAACAAGTTTGACAACGTCATCGCTAGGAAATAGAAAAAAATTAACAATTTTAATGGGGTAAAGGGGGTTTTCTCCATGGGAACAACAATCGAGTTGAAAAATTGTCTAATTATCAACAATGGCAAAAGCGACAGATTTATAAAAAAAAAAAAAATAGAACTAGGCCCCGGGCTACGGTATGAAATCATATTCAAAATTGCATTGATTGCTCCATTAGATCATTGCCTCAGGGCTATACTTTGTTATGAGATTATGTCATGGTATATAGTAGTTATATCAGCTATTGAACAAAATTTGCATGTCAAATTGCTAAACGGGTTCAATTGATTTGATATTCTACAAGTTCAACATCAAATTGATTCGAGTATGTAAGTTATTTTAGTATATATGTATGTATAATTTGAAGGTTTGTGGAACTGCCCAGCTGCTCCATTAGTTAGTGGTGTGCTAATTGATAAATGGACAGACGATCGCCGACTAATTAGGCTTCGAAATTCCTAGTGGGCGTTGCCTGACGACCGCCGGAACTTTAATTATCCACTCAAAAAGGGCAAAGATCGTTTCGGGGTGGAACGAAGATCTGGGAGTTTTTTTTTGTGTGTTCGCCTCTGCTGTTGTGTGGAAATCAAGCGGTTGATTGCATTGTGTTCTCTCGCTTATCACAGATGCCACACACCAGATATGGTCTCGCCCGACAAGGGTTCTCGAGATGCAAGTACCATCCATTCCACAGATAGGCGAGAAAGCATCTGGGGCCTTCCCGACAGCGTGTGGGAACATTAGCTAATGGAGCGCAACCAAACCAATTTGATACACAACCCGGAGGGACTTTAACCTTTAATGGAGCCTCCTCTGATAGAAACGTCTTTATAGGATTTTCTATTATTAATTCGGAAATTCTAAGAATTGGAAGGATGAACTACTATTATTTTCTGTGATCTATGGCTTGGAACTTCTGCAACCCGAAAATAAGTTTCTACATTTGCATTTCTTTAAAAATATTAGGATTATAAGGATTGTAAAGGATAATTAAGGATTTCATTCAATATATTAATTTTCGAATAATTCGAATAAGCTTTACAACTTAGAACCTCCTTCTATTAGCTCCTTAACATCACCTTCAATTATCCAAATCTAAAGCAAATAAAATCCAACTCTAATGGCAGCGGACACACCTCCGTTAGTGGCAGAACTTCCACCCAGCGGACACATCTAGATTTCCACGACCGATGGCCACTTTGTAGCACAATCGCGACCTCGATGGAGTTTTCCAACTGGCGATGCCAAGTGCATGTCGCTGCCAATCGAGGGAAACACTACAAAAACGTAAAACTTGTCAGACGGCCCAGTAAGTAATAAAAAACGAACGCAGCCGTCAGATGGAAAACCCAGGGGGAAAAGGGAAGAGGAGTCTTGAGTGCATTGAGTGCATTTTCCAGGCCGACAAACACCACTAGACAGATAGACACAACTAACAACTAAAAAACTACTTCAACAACAACTAAGACAACAGCAATAACGAGTGCCACAAAGGCAACAACCCCTTGCAACGGCGATACAAGGCGAGATGGTGGAAAATATCGTTTAATTATTTTATATATGTTTGCTCATCCCGCAGTCGTAAAGTTAAAGGGTGTGCCGTATTCTCATCCTTTTGGGAGTCAGTAGAAACGCATTCGGGAAAAGGCATTGTGAGAATTGATATAAAAAAGTGCCTAAGATGATTACTTAGCTTCAGCAGAAAATGCTAAGAGAGTTTAAACCCTATTCAGTGGAAATACGTCAATGAATCCCAAGAATATAAGATTTCATTATTAACATAAATGGAGAAATTAAATCTTCCACAATGGCTCAAAAATGTCTGAAAATATTAGCTATAACTCTTTTATGGAAATCATAAACAAATCTGTCATAAATACTTTTAAAAGCTTTTAAAAACTTGCATATACAAAGCTAATAATTGTTTAATACAAATACTAAAATACTTTTTCATTAATTTTTACTCTGAACAGAATAAATCTAAATCAAAGCTTGTTGAAAACAAATTCTTATCGTTTGTTATTGATCGAGCTGCATTAAATTCGTGTTCATTGGGAAAGGTCAAGAGATAGAAAGTAAACAGACATGTTTTTTCTAAGCTATCAAGATAATCGATCTTTGACAATTAAATATATATTCTATCACTATCTAGCTAAACTTTTTCAAATTTATATGTTTCTAATATCTATACGTATAGCTATTAAGTACATTTGTAAAAATATGATACAAAGGGATGGATGGCTAAGTAGAATCTTAACTAAAGGGTGACTCCTTCTCATTTCAAAAAACTCCCCTAATATATTCCAATTGTGTTTTTTGAAAAGCCATGAAAACTGTTAAACAAATGGAAATAGAAAAAATGAATATTGGGCCTGCCGCCAAATGTTGTTTTTTTTTTTATTTTTGGGGTTGCTCACCAAAACAAATGAAATTTGTAAACAGAGCAGCAAAAGACCGGCAAAAGGAAGGAAAAGACGAGAGAGCCAAAGAGTGGGGAAGCGGCATTTATACTCTCTCGCCCACTCTCATTTTACCTGTGGTCAGTGTCAGTGTCAGACGCTCACGCACACGTGTACACACGTACAAATGTAGTGTGTGTATTGCGCGTAGCCTGCACGATTTTGAATGAATGATAAAGCAGACGGACGAAAAGGAACGGTACTTCGGGATGGATGTGTCACCCACCACTCAGAGAAATAACTTTGACCGCCCCTCCTCACTATCGATTTTTTCCAACCATTATACGTATGTACTATATAGATATACATACATATATATTTATACATACATCTACGCTTATGCGACAATGACAAAAAACTGAAGCATTTGCTAATTAGAACAAGTCTTTGATAAAGAACACAAGGGCGAATGTTTTAGCAGATAGTATATAGAATAGATAGATAAAGAGCAGATGGAGTGGACCAGATAGGCGAGAAAGCGGAAGGCAAAGAGTGCGAAATTATTGTGCTGACTTTGCTTTGATTAGCCGGCCAGCAACCAAACGATCTTACAGTCCTACTTTCCTATAGGGGATTCACTTTTTTTCGCTCTGAAGACTATGGTCTCATAACCCTGTTCCACTGACACATTCAAAAAATGTCTTATAGTCTAGTTCCACTATAGATACCGTTATGAATGTAAAAATGTAAGAAAAGCACAATGTCGCTTTGATTATCCTTTTGAGAATGAAAAGCATGAGAAGTTGGCATAACTTAAGTTAGAATAAATTGTTTCATCTGATAACATACAAAAATCTATATAAACCTTTATCTAACAAAGGATGGTCAGGGCTAGTTAGGCAAGTTCGACTGTAGATAAACGCACCTGCGTCAGAGGGAGCGGGTTGAAACTCACACATAACTCTTGCCTCTGACACAGTTTTATAAACAAATTATTTAATTTGTTTACCCGCCCCCGCAACAAAAGGCCGCGGCTGTTGGCTGTTTAAAAATTCCACTCACACAATCGCCGAATGAATGAGAAAGGCAAAGAAGAAGGAACACCCATAAGGAACAAATAATGCCTTTTATACCGGAATTTAACAATAAACCTTTAGCACATTGCACTTTGCTTAAATTTTTGGCTGCTTTGTAGTTTGCAGTGTCACCGCTTTTTGCACAATTTATTCTTCTTATTTTACACCGTTTCTTTCGCCTTAGTTCGTGACTCATGAAAAGGAGCATGAAAAAGGGCACCAAAAGTGCACTGGTGCGAGAGCGAGAGAGGGCGCATGTCAGAGAGAGATTTTGTTTGCGGTGGCGGTTGTTCGAGCGAGATGGCAAAAGGAAACAGGGAAAAGGACGTAAAGAGAGAGGGTGGGTATTGGTGTATACGTGTGTGTGTGTAAATGCAGCAAACATTTTTTCATCCTCTCCTTCTTCTTCTTCTTCTTCTCTTTTAGTTGTGGCTGCTTCCACTATTTTCCTGGTTTTTCTTTTTTATTTAGCTTTTCTCGCTCCTGCTCTATGCTAATTTTCACTATTCACTGTTATATACACAATATTTTCCACTATATTTTTTCTTTTCGCTCGCAGCGCTTTTCATTTGCTATTTGCACTGTTTTCCTTTCATCACGCAACGCAAAAGCTTATAACAATAATTTATGGCAATTTCGTTTGCAGTTTGAATGAACTGCACTTTTTTCGCGTTTCTGGTTACACAGTTACACACACTTTACATCGCAGTTGTGGTATGTTGTTATTGTTGTTGTTGCTGCTGCTGTCGCTTTGGTTGTTGCACTTCTTGAAAACCGTTACACTTGTGCAATTTACCCAAAAACAAAAGAACAGCAGCAGAAAAAGAAGCGGCAGATTTAATGACCCGTCTACACTCACACAATGCAACGGGCGCACATACACGAACACTTTGGGCTGCAAGTGCAACGGAAGCAACAACAACAAAACGTTTCACGTGCTCACGGAGGCGCAAAAAAACGATCTACTTTTGTGTGGTCATAAAACAATTTAAACTACATTGGATCTTATCTAGTCCACTCTATATTGAAACATCTAGTATTCGCGATTCAAGAATATTTTAAAAAACTATTTAATTTTCCGCCAAAACACACCAAATTCAAAACTCCACGAACCGCCCAAGACGAAACTTCTGTTTGCGCCGAGTTGGAAACCCGACTGATTTGTTTTGGCTTATCGACCGATAGTTGTAGAGATGGACAATAAGATCAGAGAACTTTGTAAAAGGTTTTTAAAGCTAGAATCATCTGGTCACATTGGCAAACACGCGGTCTTTGCGTTGTTACATGTGAAAATAATGGTTGGAAACTCGGTTAAATGTATGTAATAAGGCTGTTCGGTTTATAGGTTCTTCATGAATTTCTTTTGATCGCGAAATATTGGTATTATTTCTTAATTATTTAATTTATTATTTACTATCTGTTCTCTAACAAAAAAAATTGATATCAAAAATGATATTTAAAGAATTAATTTTGGTAACTTTTTAAAGTTTAAGCTTGGAATTTAATAACTGCACCCTTTTTTAAGTCCAAATATTTGTCTTTATACGTAAATTTCCGTTAACATTTGTATGTCCAAAGCATTGCCTTGGCCACCTCCTTGGCCATATCAACTCCAACCAGTTGTTCGATAACCTTTAAGGCGAAGTCAAAAGTAGTGCCAGGGCCACGACTAGTAATAAGATTTCCATCCTGGACTACAGTCTTGTCGTCAATATAGCTAAATTATAATAATTACTTAGTGAATAAGAACATCTATTGAAATATTTAGAAGCCCACCAGTAATCCTTCATTAGTTGAGTCTTTAAATCCGGATGCGATGTAATGGATTTTCCTTTTCCAATTCCGTGCTTGGCCAGCGCTGTGGGAGCAGCACAAATGGCAGCAATCAATGCACCTTTTGAGTCCTGGCATCGAAGCAAATCACCAACGGCAGTGGAGTTCATCAATGCCTTGTTGCCAGCTAATCCACCTGGCAGGACAATAACATCATAGGTCTTTTGGTTCACAGCCTGTTCAAGCGAAGTATCTGGGACGATTACTACTGAGCGGGAGCACTTGACAGGTTCGCAGTTGTCTAAACCAGCTATAGTGACATCGATCTAAGAAATAGATAAGCTTTTGAATCAATACTTTAATGATAGCTATAACAAAGATAACAACAAAGAAGACCAAACAATGAAACATTTGAAATTAGACACACGAGCGCGCCAAAATACAGCGAACGGGCACACTGCCTAGTTTTTACAAGCACGCCAACTTATAAGGAAGCGGGCCTTTAGCAGTCGACTGTGATTCGGAACCCAGTATACCTAACGGTCTCTAGCCTCCTCGAAACCTAGTAGACCTTAAGGTCTCTATCCTTCTCCACACTAAGGTAGAACATAAGAACCACGGACCCGGAGAATACTGCAGGGCGCAATCCATAAGTGCCCGACAACAACCCTACCAGCACGAGAACAGCATCGCACGCTTTGAGAGGACCGTTACATGACCCGAAGCCCAGCTACACCAAAGGACGGTTTCCCACGGCACACACCGACCACGAAACATATCTTTAAACTCTGTAATCATCTGAAGTAAGAATAAACCCCAAGAAGAAGTAGAAAAAATCGAAATGTCGGAGCAGGTACATCTGTCAGCTCAAGGTCGAACACAAGGACCACCGACCTTGGATTTACTACGCTGCGATGGATTCCAAATATGGGCGGAAATATGGATCGGAGAAAGGAAAGCAAATGGAGTGGTAGCCACAGGAACCTCTATGAGCGCAATAAGCAAAAATAAATATGAAGAGTTAAGGAGCCAGGGAAGGTGGAGCAAGACGGTGGAGGAACTAACCCTAGCAAACGGGACAAGTCAGAAAGCGGTCGGAGATTTCACCACCACAATTCGATTTGCAGGCGAAGAGTTCGAGCTTATGTTCCTAATTCTGGACCAAGTACAAGGCGGGATATTGCTGGGAATGGACTTCCTTGCAAAAACCCGAACTGTACTACATTGCGGTAATCTGGAGTTGAATATCACGGAACCATTAAAAACTTTCAAGCAGGAGGAATCGGAACATACTGAGGAAGGAGCTGAACCAATCGAAGAGGAGAACCAAACATTCCCGGAAAAAGAAGATACCAAAGAGTGTGGTATGATCACAAACGACATGGGTTGGACTGTTCCGGCGGACGCCATCATCTCGGCCCAGGCGGTCAAAGAAATCATAGAAGCAGGGCAGAGAAAAAAAATTGGGAAGAAAAAGTCCATACTGTTGAAAGATAAAGATGAGACGTGGAGTGTGTTATTCGGACGCGGGCGCAGGGTCACAGTGAAACGTTTCAAACGCCAGCGGCAGCCATCGCCGACTGCTGTCACCACGGAGATGGACCCCCACTCGGTTAACCAAGTCGGCTCCGCCCGCTGCTCAAGACAGCATCCACCGCATCCACCTGTGGTTGGATCGCCGCTCGGTAGACCGAAGAGTCTCTTCTCCACAGCGTATATCCCAGAAGTGCGCGACCGCAACCCTGCCCTTCCGAGAACTCCATCGCACGCTAGCCGTGCTCTGAAACGAACTTTACACAACCGGAAGCCCTACTACACCGAAGGACGGTATCCCATGGCAACCACCAACCACGGGACACATCTTTAAATCCACCTGTTGTTGGATCGCCGCTCGGTCAACCGGAGAGCCAAACCTGGTAGACCTTAGGATCTCTAAGCTTTTCCGAACCTAGTATAACTAAAGGTCCCTTCTTCTCCACAGCGTATATTCCAGAGGTGCCCGACCGCAACGCTGCCCTCTGGACAACTCCATCGCATGTCAGCCGCGCTCTGAGAGGAACGTTACACAACCCGGAGCCCTGCTACACCCAAGGACAGTAACCCACGGCAAACAACCTATCTGTTTTACAATACAATATGTAAGTGATAGCATATCAGTTAACTTACTTTTCCTCTCCTTAAGACATCGGCAGATATAGTAAACTCCATTTCCTCAGCCCCCGGCGCCAAAATGATCAGAGCTGTCTTGCCCTCCTTGGTGGACTTACACCTGGCCAGCAGAATGGAGTGCAGATGAAGGTTCACCCTACTCAGTGAGCTCCTCAAAACCGACAACATCCTAACCCGAATATTGAAAGAGACACGTCAAGTATTTAGTTAAATATATTTTTATTGAACAAAAATGAATTGTATATGCTGTTTTCTTATTTCAAACGCAAACTGAAGTCGTTTTCGTCTTGTAAGGGATGGGTGTTATTGTTTTCGTTTTTTATTTTTATGTTTTAAAACTCAGATTTAAATAAAGCCGCAAAAGACTCGATAAAAATAATTGTAATTTGTATAAAACATATACATTTCGTTAAATATAATTGTGTTTTCATTAACTTAATTGAGTTTGTTGTTGATTTTTGTTAAATGGTATTTGTATTTGAAGCGCTTAATAACTAATTGTTAGACAGCTTTGACAGAGTTCTATCGAAAAGATCATCAACTTTCATTAAATTGCAAATGTCACAAACTCTTAATTTGGTTTTGTTTTTTGTTTCTTTTTTGTTGACTTGTTACATTTAATATTTTTAATTTTGTGGAAAAAATGTCGTTTACGTCGTATTTTAAGTCACATTTAAAACTGATTTGATTTGTATTCGTCATTAAACTTGATTTTTGTTTTTTTTTTTTTTTTTTTACTAATAACATTTAAAAAGATCACCAAAGTTACAGATTTCCCATATTACGTTGCTCACGTTGCTTATTTTTCATTTTACTTTCTTTCATTTTCTTTATCATTATCATTATGTTGATGTATTTTGCTTTCTCCGCTTAGATTAGAACTAATAATATGTATTTTATTGATTAATTACCCGGCATTTTGGTTGGTTTCTAGTTTTCGTTTTTGTTTTTATTAAAGTAAGGGATGTACCAGATGATCTCTTTAATCTTAACGCACGAATAAGTGTTATTATCATATTGATTTTGCTAGTCCAATTTCAGCTAGGGGTTATTCTGATCTGATTCGCATTTGGAACACTACATCGAGAGTGTGTGGAGAGTGTGTGTATAGCTATGGGGTTTTATCTCGGGGCTTTTAGTGGAACGAATCCTGGGACTAATTGGAAGAGTATAGAGTACACACACACATATATCATAAGATTATTTCAAATATAACGTTAATTGCTTGGAGTTAAGTCCGTCATTTTCTTGAAATCTCGGTAATTGTGGCATATATAATTTTAATCGTTAATTTTAGATTTAGATTTTTGTATTTTTATTTCCTTTAGGAAGAGTTGTGCAAATTGCTGTTCTAGCTTCGATTTCGATCTGATTATATATCTAGGCATATATCTATATTTGTTGTATATAATTGTAGACATCTATAAACGGCACATTTATAAGTAATATGTAGAAACAATGCGATCCCAATTCTATTTCTTACTTATCATCTTCATCATTCTTTTTTTGTAGTATTTTTTTTAATGTTTTTTCCCTCGATCTATCTTTAGTTTAAAGCTCAATTGAATTTTGACAGATAAAAATTTAAGTTCCCATATGGATATCCCGGCTTTGTCTTGTCTTTATGTTTGGGCCTTGACTCTCTCTCTCTCTCTCTGAGCGGAAAATAGGTTGGAAATGATATCTAAGGCTTTTCACGATCTCCAACTTTAATTTACTAATAGCTGCACGACACTGAAGAAACCATTGAAATTGTAGTGTATGTGAGTTTCTGAGGGAAAATCGGAGTTCTCCAGTTTACATTATATATATATATATATCTGTATATATAGATGTATATAGGGACAATTGTTACAGCCCATTTAATTGGATGGGAGATTAGCAGCTTGTTATTGGCATATTCATTTAGTGTATTTTTTTTTTTATTTTGGGTTTTCCCGTCGATATTCCGCTTAATGTTTTCCTTTTGTTTTGCGAGTAGTTAAAGCTTTGGACTTTTCTCATGTATTGTGTTGGTAAAGTAAATTATTGTTGAATCTTTCGCTCATTTTACAACTACGAGATGCATTCATTGTCGGCACACATTTCAGCTTCAGCTTAAACTAATTGATTATATAATGTAAATGTTGGTTCTGTCTCGGCGATCTCAAATCGAGTCTCTCCTCTAAATCGCGAACTTTTCCCTTTTGCATTGTTTCGTTTTTCTTATTTTTGTTTTAAGCTTAGAACTAAAATTGGTTTTGTTGGTTGTTTTTCTTGTTTTTGTTTGGGGTTGCTCATTAAGTAAAACATTAAGAAATAAATTTAAAATTTTAATCCCTTGTGTAGAAACGTTACTACAAAAAACAAATGGAAAATTATTTAATTACAATTTAATTTAAGATGTCAACAAATACGCCCACACATTGCACAGCCCAGCAAAATGTTAATCAGTACTGTCCCAGTACTAGAGTGAGCTATCATAATGAGCCTCATTGGAAAGACTAGTTAATAACAGATCTTAGATGAGAGATATTAACAAAAGTACTTGGCTTTAGAACTGAAATCAAACTTAGGTTTAAAAAAATGGAACTCTGTTTTTTGAATTTCTTAAAAGAAAAGCTATCTTAGCTATGACAGGCTTGGAAAATACCAAAACAATTTTATCTCATTAACATTTTCGGACTGACAGCCTAATAAAATCTCAAAAAAATTTAAAATCATTTGATAAGATTGTACATTTCTCAGCAAATGAATTAAAATCCTTAGAGATTTCCAACAGTTTGATTCAACACTTTGAAGGGCTGTGGCATTCCCTTCGTTCTTTCGTTTTATACATATGTATTATTCTGAGGATTACCAACTAATTTGTAAGTGCAGTAAATGATTAAATATAAGCATATTGATTTATATATATGTATGATGTATTTTATAATGCTCACATATAATGTACGATTGGCAAAACAGCTTGCGAACTTGGAAAACTAAATCTAAATTAAAGGATCTGTTAAGGATGTACACAATTATAAATAAGGTTTTCGGTACTGATGATTTAGAGAAAATCTACATCGCCCGTACCGCATAAATAACAACTCATCATAATGTTAACTTGAACTGTGTCCTCGATATAGTACAATTAATAAGCATACGTTTTCTCATATTGATATTGTTTGTTTGTTTGTTGTTGCTTGTTGATTTTGGCGAAACTAAAACTACTTTGTAAAATATTGAAATGTAGTTGCCACCTCACTCTCTCTCTCTCCTTGGGACGGTGGAGAAGAGTGCCATTTTTTTTTTTTAACCTCGTTTTATATTACCCGTACACCACTTTGCTCTTAAGTTAATTAATTAAGAAATTACAACGAAAAGCAGGCCTGTGTGTTCGCGATCTTATTTTTCGTTTCATTCGAAGAAGAATCAACATCAAGAAATCAACAAATTTCGTTAAGCTTTTGTAAAAAATATAAGGTACAAACTAAATATTATCGTTAGACTAAACTGTAGGAGGTACATAAATAAGAGGACATTGAGTGATATGCCTTGAACTCGGGTAGGGAGAAGTTTTGAGTCTGATTGCGTCTGTCTGAGGGTGTGTGTCTGTGTGTGTTGTTACAAGAGGATAAAACTAAAGACTAACATAAAATATCTGCACTTTCAACGCTCTGTTGCTACCCTTGTTATTTGCACTTTTTGAATTTAAGTATATATTCTATATTGTTACAGTTCCATTCCGCTTTTTCGTTTATCGTTTTGTAAAAACTTTAAATTTTAGTTTAGTTTAGGCTTAGGGTTGTGTATATACTAGGCTCCGCTCTTTAAGTATAGCTATTGTATTGACCAAAAGTTTGTCCCTTGTTGAAATTGCAGTTCTCGTTTACTCCGTCACGCTCTCTCATCGTCGTCGCCCTTTTAACTGATTTTTTTTTCGTTTTTTTTTTTTTTTTTTTTTTGGTAGAGCCCAACTTACAAACTATTAAATGTTCTTGCTTGGTTTTATCGTTTCTTTTATCTGCACGCCCTAGTTATTGAAGTATTTCATTTAGTACATACTAAGTTGTGTTTACACTCTTTCAATGCTTGTCGCCTTAATGTCGTTTTGTGTTTATTTTTTGTTTGTTTGTTTGTTTATAATTTGGTGGTGGTCTTCGTTCACAGTACAGAGAATCCGAGTGGTTGGTGTTCTTGTGGTGTTTTTGCTGTGTGAGTCGATCAGCAACGTATTCATTTCCTTGTTGTTTTCTTTTTTTTTTGTATACTAAAAACCTTTGGTTGTGTGCATTCATTCATATTCATTCATCATGTCTTCATTTCGTATCGTGTAAAAATATATTGTACAATTTAATCGTAATTTATTTTACAAAAGTTGTCTCTCTCTCGTGTTAATGACGCTTTTCTTTATTTTTTTTCCCTTGGTTTTTGTTGTTGGTTGGTGTTGCTGTCGTAGTTTTTGTTCCCTTTTAGTTGATTTCCTATTTGCTTTCAAATTTGTTTGCTACGCTTGTTTTTGAGAATTCTCACATTTCGCTTTCGCTTGTTTTCCTTCGGTTGCGCAAACTTGTGCCTGACATTCGATTGCCTATATTCCTATATAATTTCTCACTGTGGGGCTATCTGCTTTGTGTGTGCATCTGTGAGTGTGGATGAGAGTGAGTGGTGTGTTTGTGTGTCTTTGTGGGATTTTTTCTCATCTGCTTACTAAATTACTAATTCATGCAAGATCTTCGTATTCTCGTTGGTTTTCCCTCTCATCGAACTCTCCTCGCTCAACGTAAAATTTAACTTTAAACTTAATTCTATATTTTTATGATTGGCTTTCATTCGCTTTCTGATCTCTGAGGGGAAGGAAGTGGGGGGAGTAGCTTATTCGAATCGAATTTCGAAACTGATTTTGTATTCCTTAGCTTTTTGGTGTTGGTTTTATGGGGGAGTCGGTCGGTGTCTATACTTTTTAGGCAAAGTACATAACCTTCTTGGTGTCCGCGTGCACAGTGATGGCCCTGGCCATGGCACCTGGTGTACGATCCTCGGAGCAGCCGCTCTGGTGCGATCCCTCGCCCGAATCATGCTCCTTCTCCACCAGATGGTATCTAAAAAGCAAACATCAATGCTAGTAAGTATTCCAAGAAAAAGGGTTATGACATCACAAAGCTTACCTAGCACGGAAGGCTACTAAATGGGCATAATAGGCTGGCGCCGGTATACTGACGGAACGGGTGCACCGCACGTACGTGTGGCATAGCTGGTACGTGAGGCACTGTAGCTCGTCCGAGTCAAAGTGATTGTCGTCCCACAGAACGTGGTAGTGTGAGGGGCGACTGGTGCCCTGGATGCCCTGATGGCTGCACAAATAGAAATCGAATTCGGTGGGATGTGTGATGCCCACATCGACGGTGGTGCCAGCGGGAATGTTGCCCGATTTGCCGCTTTGCTCCTTCTTCTCGGCGCAGAAAAGACGTGTATGATGGCGCTTCTGTACTACAATGAACGTAATGCCTGGTCGATATTCTGGTTCCAGCTTAATACAGGCCTCGCGAATAGCGGTCAGCTCGTGCTGCAGAACATGCGGGAACTGGCCCTCGGAGACTCCGTCCCGATAGAGTATGATGCGGTGGGGCTTATAGCCACCCGTTGACTTGTAAAACATGATCAGCAGCTCACGCACCATGCTGCTCAGCTCCTGGATGATTTCTTGACGATGCTGCTGCACCCGAACAGTTGCGGCGTAGCGCGACGGATGAGCATCCATGGAGCCAACGACCGCGGCAATCGATGGTTTCTTGTTGTCCCCAGCTGGTGGGTGGGTAACATCAGCACCCAAAAAGATAACCGGTTCGTTAAAGACCTTCGGCCTGATGGAGGGCACCAGGATGGAATTGATACCGCCCAACTTGACGTTAATCTTGAGACACAGGTTGGACAGCGTCTGCGGCGATGTCTTATTCACGTTCTTAGCCTGCACACACTGGGTAGCCATACCCAGAACAGTGTCGCCGACGCGTTTTACCTCTGCATATACTGGAGTCTTGCCAGGCAATACAACCACGACGAGCTGCAGACCTGGGAAGGTAATCTTCAGGTAGCGGAACATTGGCTCCACCTGGTCCGGCCCGGTGGCGTACTTGCAGAAGCACGGCTGGCCAATGATCGGCATGCCGGCGTCGTTTGAGATCTTCTGCAGCTGCTGGGTAAAGTTACGCAGCGCATCTTCGCGCACTGTGCGCTGTGGGGCAAAACAGGCGATTGCCCAGATACGGATCTCAACGCCAGTGAAGAACTGCTTGCCGCGCATATCCCATACACCCTGATTGGGCGAGGCCAGGCTAACCTTGTTCTGTGGAGGGAACAGCTGCTGACCGGTGAGTCCGGTAGACACACGTCCCCCATACTGAAGTTTGGGTGGCGGCAAAACGCGTCCTCTCACTTCCATCATGGAATTTGAGATGGTCAGACCGAACTCCTGCACATACGAATCGTTGTTGAAGTCGGCGCGCTTTACCAAATTATTGATCTCACGCTCGCGATCGGGAGCAGAACGGGCGGTGGCTTTGATCATGGTCGACGTCTGCATATCGGTCAGCTTCTTGATGCAACGCTGTCCAGCCACAATGTTGCACACCTCCAGAGGGAGGTAGGTGTGCTTGTGCTCTTGGCCCACCTGGAGGCAGGGCAAATGCGGATAGCGCAATTTCATGCGATACTTGTCCAGGAAATACTTGGCCACAGTGCACTCCACGGTCTGTCCGTTCTCCAGCTGCAGTGGGAAACTAAAAATGTTGGGTAAGAACAGTAAGCAACGGTAGAGATTTGGAAACTTTAGAATTCTTACGATTGCATCTGGGCGGGTCGCCGGGTGACGTTGCACACGCGATACTTGCGACGCATCTGTCCGCAGTGAGTGATCTCGATCTTCAAACCCTTGATCTCCTTGGTGAATTTGACGCGCTGCGAGTCGGTGAGGGGTTTGCGCTGCTCGTTGATGTCGCGAATATCCAGCACCTCGCACATAAAGTCAATGACTGGCTGAGACTTATAGAAAGCGGTGGCCGAGACTAAAAAAAGAGTGTTAAAGATTAGACATTGGGAAACTGGTTATTTCGAGGACGACAAACTCACCATCAATGTTAAGCATCATCTTCCACTGCGAAGGCCTCACGCTCTGATGGAAACCGAACCAAACCTCACGTCCACCGCCCAGAGGATGGTAGTAACCCTCCGGAGAACTGAAAAAGCTCCGTCCCACTGGCGTGTACGTCATGCTGGGCAGATGACGCATAACCACATCTAAGGCCAAAATAGCATCGTATGGTATCTGCCGGGTACGGCCTTCGAGTGCTTCCTCCAGATTGAAGAGCGACACCTGAGCCTGCCATTTAATCGTCACTCGAAAGATGCGATCCTTGCCCTCACCAGGCAGAGTCACCTCCAGCTCCAGACGTTCATTGCCAATGGGCAGGGGATCGCGTGTGTACAGATTGTTGCGACCATCAAACACAGGCTTCAGCACACCGAAGATCTTGCTGTAGGCATGCACCATAGTCTCGATAATCTCACGGTTGACCTTCCGCGGACACTTATCCGGTTGAATGTTGATATCATAGTGATGCACATAGCCGCGTGGCATCGTCACCTGGAAGTGATTGGCCCGCAGCACAATCGGTCGACCCTCTCGTCCGAGATTCGGGCGACGTGGACACGTAAAGACGGGCATATCCGGCTGAGTAGCTGGCGTTGCGGTGGCAATCGCTGGAGTCACACTGCCGGTGGTGGCGCCCAAGGCGGAGGCCACCTGGGCGGCAGTTGCAGCTGCACCGGCCACAGTTGCTCCACCAGCGGCCACATTCTGGGCACTTGGGCTGGTGACGGCGGTGGGATTGACCGACGAGCCGGGCGCTGGTGGTGCTGTAAAGTCAATTGCCAATTAGTTTTATATCAAAGTAGTGATTTTTTAAAGATAAAAAAAGTTTTAAAATAAAAAACTCATAAATCTAGGCAAATATCTAAAGGTAGGTTTTCGGGATGGTTTTCACATGATTAGATAAATCTCGGGAATCTTAAAAACTATTTCGAGAATATAACTGACAATTCTTTATATTATAGTTTATCTTTGACTTAGTTACATGAAATATAGTATTACAATCAGAAGGATTGTATCCAGAACTGAAATTTATTTGTAATAGTGATAAAAAGTGTTACGAGCACTTAAATAAAGTAGTTTTCTTATCTAATCTAAACAATGTTTAGATACTGCACCAATACTAAAATGCTGAACTTGAGTTAATATATTTTTTCCCATTTTATATTTCTTTGGAAACTAATCTTAATCAAAGTTAATCCCTAGATTCCCATGAGATTATCCAGCGTATGAGAAAATCCCCCTTTAACTGCTACAAGCAACAAATGGGCATGCAACGAGCTTAAAACACGAAATAATAATACGTATTAAGATTCAAACAGAGTTTTGTAAGTGTGTTTTTTTAGTTTAGGTGTAGAGTTATACTTCAAGTGCACTTTTGCATGGTACGAAGAAAAACAAACATTTACACAAAACGAAAAAGCAAAACATTTTAGTTTATCTTTGGTTAGTTTTCAAGTTTTTTGTTAGTAAAATTACGGCAAAAAAAAGGGTTAGTTCGGGGATAGGTTAGTTAGTGGAGGAGAACAGTTGTGTTAGGAACATCAAACTAAAGAACGTAAACACAAACGGTATTGTATAGCTTTTTTCGAATCAATCAAATTGCATAAAAGGATCTTAGTAATTTTAGTAATCGTTTTTGGTTTTTGGAGAGAAATTTACATGTGAGCGTGTCGAAGCTAGTCTGCGCCTGAGAGGGACTCTGAGGCCGAGTGGGCGAGGGGGTCCACTGTGACTCTATAAAAAGAAAATGTAATCAAATAAACGCAAGGTAATCAAAATGATAATGGAAATGAAAAGGTTGAAATCATAAAACGGGTAATGTCCAATCGATGGTTTTTGTTTGTTCGATGATGGTCAAAATCAAAATAATATAATGTCAAAGGTGAAAACGATGTGAGAACCGAAAACAAGGTGGCGATAACGAACGAAAAGAAAACGAAATAAAAGTGCGTTAATAATATTTTAGTTACAGTTTTCTTTCATCATCATCATCAACATCATTATCGTCATCAATAAATATATAAAGTGTTTCGGGTTATACGTGTATTGTGTGTAGATATATAGGGTACATCCTGCTGCCACAAGTTGTTTTCCCTTTGCTCAGTTACTTTGTTGTTTGGGTATTATTTGCATTTTCAAGTCCTGGGTTAGCCACCATTTTGTTAATAGTTCTTAGTCATAGCACCTTAAAACCCTGGGATCCTTTGCATGTGGAGAAAGCTTTGATGTTCTACTCGGTACGTAATTGGCTAACATTGAACATTAAAGGATAAACTTTTTCTCTAGTTTAAAGCCCACTTTTAACGTACTATCAGGACCAAGTCCTTAGTTATTCTTTATAAACGATTTTAAGTCAAGACTTATGTAGGTTTTTTGGTTATTGATTGATATAATTTTATTCCTCTTTAGCTATTTAAATAGGTATTGCTGTGAAGGTCACAAAGCTATAGGCAATTTAAAAGGTTTTTCATATGGATATACGATAAGCAATGGAATTATACTTCTAACAAATGTTCAGATTACAAACAAAAGGCGTTATACGATATTTCCAAGGCGTTATACCCCTTTCCTATACAGCCTTTTCTGTTTGCAACCCTTTGAGGCATAAATATTTATAAGAAATACGCACAATCGGCGGCAAATTGCGACGCAATTAGGAGAGTCTGCTCTTGAAACCCAGATCTAAATCCAGATACTCCACCAATTCAGACAGAGTTGTTTTTGTAGGCCCCAAAAAGCAAAAACAAAAAGCAACCCCCGGAAGAGCAGGAAACTATTGCGACGCGACGACGGTCGTTGACCCAATTTTTGCGCATTTTCAACTCTGCACTTTGACGCACGTGTGCTTGCCTGTGTGGGAGTTGCACACAACGATAAGTTCTGGCACTTGTATGCATATATCATAATATTGGTGCAAGTAGAACATCGAAAACTTGATTAGTGAGTGGTTGGGCGAGAGGGTCGGGGGAGGTGGTGTAATGTGGGAAACTTGTGGCAGCAGCAGTTTTTCATTTTCTTTTTCATTTCTTATTTGTCAGTCTGGAAATTGTCTTTTCATTCTTGTTCAGCATTTGCTAGCCACTTACGTTGTCCAACTGGATACATGTCTTTGCACTAAGTTAGGTTTTGGTTTAAGAAAAATAATTAATGTATAAAAGGTTGGCTCTTTTTCTTTTTTGTTTGCTTATTTGATGTTTTGTGTTGTTTGGTGTAAAATGTAATTGATTGTTGTTGTGGTTGTTGTTGTTGCCTTTGCTTTTGGTTTTTCTACTAATTATTTATAGTTTTGTTTTTGTTTTTGATTTCAGCCTTTTGCTTATCACACTTTAAAGTAGTTTAAAGTTTTATTCGTTTGGTTGATTTTGCATTTGTTGATTTTTTTTTTTGTTGTTGTTGCGCGTGGGCGTGGCGTAGGCGTTATTTTTTATATAAATTGGAATTAGCAACAGACAAGTGGTTTATTATCTCGTCTCTTTCTCTCTCTTGATTTGCATTTTATTTTATTTATATTATTATTGTTTGTTGTTGTTATTTTAGTATTGGAAAAGAACACAAATGTAGGCACAGCTTTCGTTTAATTTTATATGTATGTATCTTTTATGTACACACCTAGGCGTGTATATATGTATATTTATATACTTATATATGTATCTAATGCTCTTGTAATACAACTAAGAAAAAATTCTTCTTTATGCTCGCATATCTCGTGAGTGCAATTGTATGCGTGTGTGTGTGGGTGTGCTCCTTGGCCTGTGTGTGTGTGCTGCTTCGCATATACAGCAAGAAAATGCGTTTGTATGCGTTTTTTTTATATATGGCAGCCCAAAAATGTGTGCACGTAGAATTCTTGACTTTTTCGAGACGTGGTTTTTGTGCACCAAACACGTTCGCGCCGCCCGCTCTTACGCACAAACCGTGGCCAGACTATTGAATTTTGATTTAGCACAACTTTTGTTAGCTTTTCACGTCGCGCATTATGCAAAAAATGCAATTTTCTTCAGCTTTTCCCACAGCAGCCACACACTGGACGTCCACACAAAAATTGTACTCGCGACGTGTGAGCGTGACGCATGCTGTACCCTCTTAACCACACTTAAATGAGGGCAAAGCACTCTCGCTTATAAGCGTGCGAGTGAGCGAGATAACTATATGAACGGGCAGTCTGGGCATAGCTACTCAGGGTTGCTCAGACGGCATAACCCAGTGTTGTTAAGCTAGCGGGGTTATATCGTTTTCTTGACGGCTATCGTTATCGCCGCTCAGCTGTTACGTAGCATGTTTGTTACGTCGTAATTTTTGTGCAAAACTGCGCTTTTTCTTTCGTGGTTTACAAAACAAAAAAATAACATAAATAATGTCTGTGCCTTTTAGTGGCGCATTGCGCCGGTCGGGCGGCATTGTCTCAGCTATTGGCAAGCAGCTGAAGAGCGTGAATTTAAAGGGCGTCAAACGGATAACCGTGCAGTTCGATCCATTTGCGGAAAACGTCAAGTCCACACGGTAAGTCGGAAAAGCGCTTTCCCATCTATCGATAGCGGGACATGCGCAGATGCCCACCCCCACAGAATTGGAAAATTTTCACGGAACCAAAGTGACGAAAAATCAAAAGAAAGAGAAAACCCAAAAGGAAACCAAAGAGGTGCAGTGAAGTATTCACACCATAAAACCGATCCATCCTTTGATTGCGAGATGTTAATGAATGGATGAGGTTGTTGTAACACACTCACCGTAGACTTTCCCAATGATGCCCACGGCGGAGGTCATCTGGAGATCCGGAAAAGTCAGCGGCAGAGTGTGCGGATGGAGCTGAGCTGGCCCACCGGGAGCCAGCTCACGCTCCGTGGACATTTTAGTCGGTGTCGGCGTCAGTTTGAGGCGGCGGCGCTGCTCCTGAAAAACAAAGAAAACAATAGATAAATCAATAACCTACTTTGTTATCTATATCCGCAGAGAATTCCTCTTCCTGCTCTCTATACCCAAGGTGGCACTAACGAATCCCAAGTGTGTGGTAAAGCCGGAAATCGTGTGCGATCGACAGCCCGCCAACATAAAGTTTTCGCTGATTGAATCAGCACAAGGTAAGGATTCACATTTCTTCTTAAAAACGAACTTAAATATGGTTTTTCTAGTTATCTTAAACAACTTTTTTGAATTTAACCTAATACTGCTAAATATCTTGAGAAAAGGTCAAAAACTTTTCACGAGTTACCAAATCTTAGTCTTCTGCTCCTTTGTTTTGCACTCATATATAGCTAATAATAAAAATCTTTTTCAGAACAAGCCCAAGTCAAGGAGATTCGCTTTAATAGCGGCAACCTCAACACCCTAGAGCTACTGCAGCTGTGCAACAAACACGTGTCCAGCTTGGCACCACCAGAGGAGATCACCAACAAGGTTCTAACCAAGGCGGAGAAACAGAAACTTGGAGGAGGAGCCGGCGGAAAAAAGGCAACCAAGAAGAAGTAAGGCGACAAACGCACAACAATCATCACGATGGTGAGGAAGCACAAAGGAACGCTGGCGGTGATCGAGAAGATCTACCAGGATATACCCGCCTTCTCCGACATCTTTACCGAGGAGAGCTTCTACATGTTCGCCTTCTGTTTCGTGTGCGCCACTATTCTGGTGGCCTTCATTCTCTCCCGTTTCATCACCATAAAGCCCGTCGACTTCTAAGCCAAAAAATGTCTTGTCTAATTCCGCACACGTACTTTTGAAAATATATATAAGCTTTAACGTGTTCCACTCCGCACTGTATTGTCTTTTTGGCCCGACTGTGCGAAAGGGCAGCGTTCGATTCGGTCCGTCAGCCTGTCGGTGGTTTTTTAAGCTAAACCAGTTTTCGGGCCCTGGCAAACCGGAAAATCATCTGCTCCTTCTGCTGCTGCGGCAGCAGTTGGTTGAAGCTGCTGCTGCTGCGATTGCTGATGTCAGCGGATCGAAGAGTCGCCTGCCGGTCAGAGCTTATAATCACAATGGGGCGGGAGGAGCCAATGATAATTGGACCAGAGGAAGTCGACCAAATGTACCATGCAAAGTGGATGTGGCTGGGGTGGACCCAACTTGACTGATTGGTTGTGGTGTTTTAGGAAAATATAACCTAATGAAATTTTAAAGGGATTCTTGACATTATATCATTAGGATTAGGTTCATCACGTCACATTTGAAACACTTCATATAATTTACATTAATAAACTAAAAAAAATTTAAAGACATCTGCTAAGTACAATCGGTTTGTTAGATTTAAAATGGAATAACCTATATAAATCTTGCTTAGTCTATAATTTTTGTAGATTTAAATTAATCCCGCTAAAGGGTGTTATCACAACATACATTTTTTAAAGAATATTACGTTTCCTGCGATATTGTACCAAAAGGAAAAACCTTCTAAGATAAAAAACAGTGCAACAGGCAACGGGACAATGCTCTTTGGTTGGTCCAAGACAGCTGTTGAGATGAAGTTGAGTCAACTATTCTTCTTCTGTAGAGGGTGAAGATAAAGGAAGAAAGTGCACTACACAGTGCAAGCTTTGAGCTAAAGTTTTAAAATGGCGGGCTATGAATGTTTGTATGTATCTGGGAAATCGATGCAACTGGCAACAAACTGTTGAAGTGTGGCAGCTGCAAAACTGTTGGTGAAAGTTGCCCCAAAAAAGCTGCAGCACCCTGTGATTAATCGAATTCAGTGCATAGTAGCCAAGTTCAATGTCAGGCTGGAAGCTTTCTCCGCCTGTTGGTCGGCCATATATTAAAGGAGTCGGTCGCCTCGTAAAAACTTTTGCCACCCACATTACAATTTAAAACTTTCTTACGCGGTATTTGTAATTCGATCAGAAGTTTGTGAAATCAGTAAATGAAATATATGTACGTCATATATGGTGGATCAGAATCCTTTCTTTTTTATACATTTTTAAAGGAATAAAGGACAAAGGTTTCCCTGATGTTAGATTTGTTAAGCCAAAAAGCATTAGCAAAGAAGTCAAAAGTTGCAGTAACTATTGTTTGTGATTCTTACAGAGTATTTTAGATTTTAGCAATATCCTGGGAGAAGGAGGATTAAAGAATTGTTGGTAAGAAAGATAGGGCATATAATCTTCGATTTGTCGTAACAAACTTCCTTTTTTGATTTCCTGACGTAATTTGCGCGGGGAGTGGGTCGTGGAGTAGGTAACGAAAGTTCTATTGGAAGCTAAGGATGTGACCTTTCTACCAAAACATAAACACTGCCTGTATGGTTGTCCCGCTCGCACCCCCGCTCTAACTATTTGGCGCTCTTGAAAATTTCCCACAGCATATGCTCAGGCGCCATTTGTGTTTTGGTTTTTTTCTACTGTTTTTTTTCTTTTGGGCACCTCCATTTTATTTGAATTGCAGCTGTTCTGGAAGTCTCAAATTGCCGGCAAAATCAAAGAGTCACATTTGATTCGAGTGCTTATACTCACCTTATCGCAAAATTGCAGCTAACACTGTTGGCTTTATGTATGTTTTTATCAGCTTATCAGCGGCAAATCAAGCGTTTTTTGTGGCGAAATTCGATTATTTGGGGGGAACTCATTAAGGAGTTTCGTGCGGTTTGCGTCTTGACTCTATGTATATAACCGTTACTGGCGTTTTTTTTCAGCACTAATTGGAAGAAACGAGAAAGATAAGTGCAGGAAATGGAAATGGTTAAAACGCAGTTTCTTTTGCGGCTGCTGCCACTGCTTCTGTTGTTGTTGGTGTTGCCAGATCGTTGCGCCGGAGATATGTACATATGCATGTATGATATTGCGAATCCCGGAAAGCTTTTTGTTTACTTTGTTATTTGACAACACACTTTTTAACAGCTCTTATTTTATTCAGTTTTATTTTTTGCAAGCTTCCAGGCCTGCGATAATGTTTGAGTGTTTAAGTGTGTTTGTGAGTGAGTCAAAATCATAGGTTGCTAATGTGTGTGCGACTCTTTCTCTCTCTCTTTCTGTCTCTGTCTCTCTTTTGGCTTTCTGTGTTTGCTTTTGCTTTTTGTTATTGCCGCGGCTTTTAACTTTTTTTATGGCAACTACTTTGGAGGGAAAAGCTTTCCCCACAATCCGCGAAGCAGTCATGCATTCGAAAAAAACAACATACAGACTGCTACCAGAACACGCACACACACTCACGTCCGCCAAAAGCACCAACACACATACAATCGCAGCAGAGATTGCTGCAAAATGAAAGCACCAACAACAAACAACAGATACAAAAACATCCAGCCCGCGACGTAAAAATTTGCGAAAAAAATATGGCAATTACTTCAGATCTGGGTATATTTGTATTTTCTGATCTGTCAATAAGAGATCACTTCGCTTGAGATCGTTATGTTTGAGAATTAAGTGGCGACTACTAAAAACTGCGAACGCGCGAGATTTTGCACAAACACATCTTATAGGTTGGCCGTTTTGGAATTGAATAAAATAAATATTGTTGCGTGTGTGCCTGTGTGTGCATGTATCTGTGTGAGACGGTTCGCAGAGAGAGCGCGCAATTCGTGCAAGAAAGGGACGACCAGTGTGATGTTATGAGCGAGCAGGGCAGCGAGCTTTTTGTTAGGGGGACACCAACAAAATGACCTTGTCAGGATTACTATTCCCGTTACTTCCATAAATCCCCCGCAATCACTTCCTAATTTGAAACTGGAGGTGAATTTTTAATAACTTTAATTTTATAGATATAGAAATATTACCTTTTTTTCAGTAATTCACGATGTAATGTGTAAACATTTGGTAAGTCTTTTTAAAAAAGAACTAATTAAGAATAATTTAATTGAATTTTGAACTTTAATCCAGCTAAAAAAAAAATAAAGAATGAGTATGAACTGAATTTATTTTCATTACAATAACTGAAAACAGCAGTTAGCCAAAAATCAAAATTCAACTTTCCAGAATGTTTTTTTTTGTTATTTTATAAAGAGAAATTCATCATAAAAATATTTAATTTAAATTCTGTAAAATCATTTAACTTCAGGTTAATGCATATTTAACTCCCTTTTTAATTTATTCAGAACCGAAAGTGTTAAAAAACATGAAAATATTTATATGCTTTTTAACTCATGTAACTTTTTAATCGTGGCGCAAGATAAAGCTATTTCTGTGTTTCCTCCTGCTTCTCAGCAGCGGGATCAGTGTTTTCATCCCGGGCTACTGAAGTGGGGGTCTCGGCATCGCCCTTTTTCTCGCTGGCAGACGTTTCCATGGTTGCACCGGCAGGAAGGCTCTTTTCTAGGGCACGCACAAAGTCCTCCAGATTGCCGGAGTAGGCAGCGGCCACCGCTTCGTTAGACAGTTCAAATTGCTTCACCACTGGTCCCAATTGAGCAGACTGCAGGGCATTTGAGAAATGGGCAAGGGCCTGCTGGAATTGCGGGGAGGTGATGTGATCCTTGATCTGCTGCTTTCGATCCTCATCCGCATTCTCCGATTCGGGCAGGTGCACGATCAACGATTTAACTCGTTCCGGATCGGCGATGAGCTGATTGATGGCCTCGGAGCCAGAGAGAGCCGTCGATAGGTCAATATTCAGGGATCGTCCTGCGCCATGTTCGGGGGAGAGATTGGATAAGTAGGCTTGGAATGGATTGGCATAGGCTCCGGTCGATTCTGACGCCGTTGTGGTCGATGAGGTTGAGTTCTTACCGGAGGCATCCGCATCAACGGAGGAGCCGGCGCTGCCGGCAGTCTCGCCGCCCTGCGAGTTCACATTGCTGCTGCTGCGGCTGCTGCCCGATTTGGATGGAGCGCTCGGAGTACGAGGCACACTGACGTTTTCAGGCGTCTGCAAGGCCGAGGCACCACCTCCTGATGCGGAGGTGTTGCGCGACGATGGCGTACGGGAGCTGTAACAAATGAGAGTAGGCTTCATGTAGTAAGAACCTAAGAAAACGGTAGCTTGATCTATGCATACATTTATATATATTTTGTCCATAAGAAATTTTTCTGTTTTCAGGATTTTAAAGTCATAAACTAGAATCTAGTTACTAGATCTGAAAGATCACATATACTAGCTATTTCGAGAGATCATTTTAGGTACTCGATTAGATAGAAGCTACATATATACATATACTTCTAAATATTGAGATACTTCCCAATCAACTACTTCAAAATAGCTATCGGCTTTAAAGCCTGTTTTACTCACTTCATTTGGCCCAGCAGAGAGCTAAGGCCGCCCATCTGTCCGACGCCTCCAAAGAGCTGCATCAGCTGCTGCTGCGACATGTTATTGAGCATGTACTGGAGGTCGCCATCATTGCTGCCGCCGCCACCACGCTGGTGGGCAGACGGGGGGTTGTTCATAAGCTCGTTGATGCGACGGCAGTGCTCGTCGTCCTTGTCCGTTTTCGGCTCCTGCATCCAAAAGAACATGCGGCGAGTCGAGGACTTGAACTTTAACACATAGACACGTCCCGTCTTGCACTGATCCACGCGCTTGTACTCAAAGTCATCGGGAAAGACAATGAGGTCGTCTTCAACCTTGCCAGAGGTGCGATCCTTCCAGCAGAAGTGCATCAGCCCGTCGTCACTTTGGGTCATGTATACCAGGCCCTTGCGCGAGTCCGGATGTACCATCTTGCCAACCATGTTCATGCGGCCGGCGCGGAACTCCACCAGGTTGCTGCTGTTGCTGGAACTGCCCAGTCCACTTTGTCTTCCGAACATGATGCGGGCGCTTCTTGAGAGCTGGCGGAGATTGAGGAAAGAAGGTGTTATAATAGCGATGTTCTTGGGCCAATCTCACAGTTTTTTTTCACTGGTCTGCTTTGGGGTTATCAGTCGGCGCTGGAGAACTTACGGGATATATAATGCGTTGAATTTGAAGGGTTTATCAAATATTCAATGATTCGCCTACTGCGAATGACGAGCAATTTTTGTCTTCTTCTTAAGCAACCAGTGTTACCCCACTATTCCGATATTCTATCACTTTGCAGCACTGTTGGAATTTGTAAAGGTAGTCAGGATATTCCGTATAAGTTAAAATTGCTAAATTGTTAAATTTGATAAATGCTTATAATGTTATATCTATAGATTATACGTTCTACTTTGGTTCCATATCGGTGCCACCAGTAAGGCAATACATTATATCTACATAAAAATTTAATTTAAGTTTCAAAATACAACATGCGGCAGCCAATAATTTTTTTTTTGGTTATTTGTTTCAAAGAGTTTACCAATTTTTAAATAAACGCCCATTTACGCAATCTGGTATTATATTTATTTGTCTTAGGAATTTCAGAATTTTATAAGACAAGGAAACAAGTAGCTTTAATTCGCTTCAGCTATAAATTTAAACATATTCGGCTATTTTAAAGCCAAGAATTCATCACTGCTATCGATATAATGCCTTCTCAACGTACTTACCAGTATTTCCAGAACTCTCTAGTTGGTCATACTGCAAAAAATTTCTTTCGAACAACAATTTCTGTGGTTTTTCATTGGACAACGAAAAGTCATCGAGATCAGAGCTTCAATTGCGACTTAACAAATAAAATTGGTTGACTTGCACTTTGTGGTAATTTCAGCCTATAAACAATTGCAACAACAGTGGTAAAATCAGTGAATTTTCTACATTTTCTGCTACGCAGTTCCAAGTGGTAAGTGAAAAAAAGATGCCTTGTTTAGTTAACTTTGCGCCTTGAATGCAAATATACCTGCCCTGCATTAATGTCGATGAAATATTTATATTGTAAATAGCGGTTAGACTTGTTGAATTTAATTGCGTCATGCCTTTGTCTCAACTTATTTACACTTTAATTGCACTCCATAATCAACAATCGGCATCAGCCTTTTCGTCTATTCTCCCGCACTCTCTATATTTTCCCCATATTCTGTTGCTCTTCTTTGTTTAGATTTTACTGCTTTCCGCTTTGTGCTGACCCATTTTTTAGTCTTTGTTGACTCTCTATCTAACCTGATACTATAAAAGATCCCCTCTTAGATGAATCACCTTGAATTTTGAAACCAGTTTTCGCCCTCGAACTTGGCACAAATTGCAGGGACACCATAAATACTTGTAAATAACAATTTTTATCAAATGCCTCTCACGTTTCTCAAAATGGGCGCAAAAACAGTTAAATACAAATAAACCAAAAAAAAAAATAAAACAAATCAGACAAAAATGGCAGACTTTTTGAAAAGCAATACGAAGCTATAGTAAAGTGGAATGGCCGATAAGATAACGTACTTTGCGTCTTCGAAAACAACAAACTAAACAATATCACAAAGCAAACGCCGATATATGCACGCCCCGCAATTTTGCTAAACCCTTATAAAACATCCAATAATCTCTACAAAACAATGCCAGATGGCCCAATTCAACGCTGAAAATCAAAAACAATTCTGATAAAATCTAACTTGAAAATTAATTTTATTTTTTTTAACGAATTCTGCTATTTATATTTAAAGCTTATTTTGTATTTCCTTTTATCATCAGAAATAAAATACAAAAGCAAAATGGCGGTTTGCTTTTCCAAAATTTCCCTTTAAATCTCTTGCCAGTTTAGATCTTTTTATTAGTTTATTAAATATTGACCCCTTTATTCTAACAGCTATTCTACTATAATTATCATTTAATTTTCCATAAAAGCTGTCAGTCTTCACGTGACTAAGAGTTCGATTAGATGGCTTACTAATTGTCTGATTTTTTACAGATTCTTAAACTCTTCAAAATGCGCACAGCTGTGTTGCTGCTGCCACTTGTGGCCCTGCTGGCGGTGGCCCAGGCCGTTTCCTTTGCCGATGTGATCATGGAGGAATGGCATACATTCAAGGTGAGTTTTCCTCCGATTATCAATGGATTACATTCGATTTGTCATCCCAGGAAATCGGAGAGCAACAAGTGTTCTCCGGTAACAAGGGCCTGCACGGCGATGATTAATGCATTTTACGTATTTTTGGGGCCTTTGTCTTGCGCAGACTTTTGTTTGCATAGTTGGACTATGGAACTAAATGGGCATTCTTCCCGTTTGTGTGACGATTCCTCTCGTGTGAGTCACCACCCACTGGTGACTTAAATGTGAATGCACTGCCCGAGCGGCTGCATCAAAGAAGAGTCCAGATAAGTTCATAAGTCTAGGCGGCTGTTCAGTCACATGTTGCTGCTGGTGGCTCACATGACCAGTGTCCGGGCTTAGCCCATCCGTAAACATCGGATGAATGGACGGAGGGGGGCGAACAATCAAGTCGTTGCCCACTTTTGCTACGCGGCGGGTCACTCGCGACTGATAAGCCGTGCAAGACTCGAACTGGTCCACTGATAATCCGCACATTTGTAACATTTTTTTTTGCAAGCAATTGTTTCCTAATCGTCATTGTGGCTCACTTTGGTTTTTGACCCCGTCTGCATTGCATATTTTATATTGCATGTACTAATAGTTCAATTGATTAGGCAAATCATCCTTTGTCTTGCAGCCTTCACTTGTCACTTTGTCATATTATTAGTGTCGTCTATCTCTTATCGGCTAGAGTGAAAGGTCGTATAGTCATTTTTTTCGTTATTTTGCTGAATAGTTGTTTTCTATTGTGCCGTGTCAAGCACCATTAACCGCAAATGGGGGCGTACAAATAATAATTAGCTTTACAGATCACATGTGATAAAAAGTGAATATATGTGTGTAGAAATATTTGTTTAATAGCTTTGGATATTTTTCCTTCAATGGTTTATCCATTCTTTGGAAATGTAATTTCAAGCGCAACCCGCATTTGTGATAAGTTAACTTTATGGGGAAATTTCATTTTACTTATTATCATTATTTTCAAAATGAAATCCCATTTAATTGTATGATAATAAATTTCATTAGTCACTTGGTGTATATTACTTTTCTTAATATGACTAAATTTGTTGATGTCAAAAAAATAAAATATTAGGAAATTTTTTTAAAAATGATTATAATATGTGACAAACTCAGTAGCTGAGAAACTTTTAAGAAATATTTGACTTCATATTACAAGTTTTGGTACTTAAATAATTTGATTATTGCAAACATAATGTTAGTATCAAGAAATCAAATTCATCGCGTTTTTTTTTACCGATAGTCTATTTTATTAGAATTAATATTTCATAAACGTAATAAAACTGTGTACTATTTTCACTTCGCTTCTAGATTTCCTAACATTAATTTCAAATGAAATGAATTTAGTAAACCCGTTCGTTACTTTTTAAATTTGTGACCGTTAAATACCATGTAAAATACTAACCAGTTAGATGTTGGTCACACTGACAAAAACAGTGCTGCCCATGCCTTGCTTATCAAAGTTAGAGGCGGGCAATTCAAAATTTGATTTCTAACCGACTGAGCTCTTAAATACTATATAAAATAATCAGAAAAACATAAACCGTAATCTGTGTTCAGTCCAAAGTGCTGCAAAACGCATTTACAAATGCACAGCTGCAAAAGTGGCACTGATAAGGCACTAAAAATCCACATATTAATGCGTTTCAGTTTCTGATAATAAGCAAATATTTATAACAAAGTCAGGGCGACGGGGGGTCGCGAGCGTTTTGAATATGACGCGTGACCGATCATCGCTGCTTATCAAATTGGCATTTCCGAGAGCCGAAAGCTTTCTAGCCCGAAATCTGAGCGACAAGTGCACAAACAAATAGCCTGCCGTAAACAAACACGGGGGAAAAATTTGGCTGACTTGCAAATACATTGATGTTTTCTCTTTCTTTATTAATTTTCTACATATATGTATCTATATAATTCCGAACCGGTTGGCAGAAAACATATTTGAATACCTCGCCTGAAATCCTTATAAATCATGCGATTCGAAAAACCGGTTCGTTTTTAAACGGTCCACACAATGCGCGCGCTGCAAAAAAAAGAAAAGAAGGAAAAAAATAAGAAACAAGAAATATATAGAGTAAACGCTGGTTCCTCCAAATAGTTTGACTACGTAGGTTGGCGGACTCTCATTCTGTGATACGAAGTGTAGAGTGTGTGAACTCGGCTCTTTTTCACCCGAATCTCTGTGTGTGTGCGTGTGAGCGGCCCACCACCAAAAGCGGGCTGTGTGTTGTATTTTTGTTATTTCCCTACCGACGCTCCAAGCAAACGGAACGCTCGAACAGAAGCGGAGAGAATCATATAGAAATTTGAGAGAAAAGAAATAAAAGGAGCCAAATACTCAGCCCCCTCGGAGCCGTACGAAAAAAGCACGCGCGTCATCGTAAAAACGTGCTACTAAATCGAAGGAAACCAAAGTAATTGCCACCGAAATTATTACATAAAACAAAGAACGAAGGATTTGACCAACCATCTAATTACCATGACCGATGTCAGTGCAAATAGTCTGGATGTTTCGGTAGATGTGGTCTGGCCATCGATTATTGTCCTGGCCATGCTGGTGATAAACGGCTTCGTCTTTGCCTACATCATGCGAAAGCGGCGGGAGTGCAAGAATCAGGAGGAGGAGCTACAACAACAACCTGTTTCACACAGAACTTATGCGGCCACCAGTCAAGTGGCCACTAGTTCACCCACGGATCAGGAGGATGATAGCTGTGCCATCGAAATGGAACGACTTTAGGATTATGATTATTAATCGCCATCAATCGCAGTAGTAACTATAGCTTTGAGATACTCATCCATTATCGTCCAAGCTCTCAACTGCAACGAAGTTTCCTAAGCTAAAAAGAATTATATCTCTTGCTAATTAAAGAGAGATTGAGATATACAAAACGTATACGTCGAGTGCCTGGATTGCACGTGCATTTAATTACGGTTTTTAAGTTGTTAACTCTATATATTTCGCAATTCATTTTCTACAAAAGTATATAAATAAAAATGTGTGAATTTTATCATGCCATATCGAGAATCGAAGCTGTTTGAAAGGAAAATCAATAGGTCAGTGTGCTAAAGGCGGCTTTTCGCCTCACATCCACCAAGTGGAAATAACGGGCGAGGTTATTTTTTGGATGCATGTCTTGAATTTGAATCAATTATGTCAATTATACGAGTCAGCCGTGGTCTGGGGCCTGTGCACCCCATCCGGTCCATTTGGGGCGACAATTGTTGCTCTTCTGGTTGGTCCGCTTTGATGTCCAAAATAATTACATATGCATGATTCTCACATGACAGCGCCACTCTGATTATTCAGTTCATTGTGCCAAGTACACTAGAATATAGCCGATCTTTGTGTGAGTTGAGATTAGCCATTCAAAAACCACTAAAAAAGCGATAAAGTTATGGATAAATTTTATGAATAATTTTCCATTTCCGTGGGCGCGCATTTTGTTTACTCATTTTATTTAAAAACATGGCAATTAGTTTTTTTCAACGTTTTAAATAAGCAATTAAAGCTGTTAACACATTCATTAGAAAATTTTTTATGTATTCTAAATTTAGTTCTTGCAAAGAAATATTTTACATTTTAATAATAAACATTTCAAAGAAATGTTTCTTAAAATTTTAGTTTACTTGTAACTATTTTGCTGTAAAAGTATATTTTTAATGATATATATTTAAGCAAAATTTTCAATTTAAAAGTTTCATTTCAAATACCAAAATTTATGAATTTCTGTAAAGTAAAATTATTTATATTTTTCTTAGTTATATATACAAAAAGTTCTTTCTTATAAATATTGTTGTCTCAATAACATGACTTTTTCCATTGAGTGGAAAATTATATATTTTAGCAGAAGTTCAAAGATATATTGACTCTAAATCAAAACCCACCCCTCGGAAATTATTTACCGAATGTAATGGATAGCAGCCAAGTCGAATTCTTGCTTCGTTATTCCCATTTCTCTTTATAGCTATCATTTGTTTAGTGTTCGTGCTATTTCCGTGCTGTGTAAATATGCGGGTCGGGGGACAAACAACCCCGAACCGAAGAGAGGTGGTCTCTAATCCGGGGGACCAATGCATGCTGGCTAGTTTTCCTCTTACCTGCAGTGACGTTCTTTGTTTACTACCTGGGATATATTAACACTATTTCGAAGTTACTGTCGTTGGGCAGTCGTTAAACAACTATTTTATGGCCATATTAGATTTATAGACTTTGCTACTGCGGCTGAACCTAAAGAGCGATTCGCTCGTGCCAGGTTTTGACGGGAATTGTGATAAGGTTATCGTGAGATTAAGAAATTTTGCCTCCGTGATCGTAAATCCAATTTACGTAAAATATTTTTATTTTCTAAAAGATCTCTTCGAACACCAAAATTATGTCTGAAACTTGAGCACCTCTTTTTTTTTGGTTCTATCTAATCTTAGAACAAGCACATGAAAGTTAATTGATAAGGTTTCTTACCTGCTTTTGATAAGAGTGCACTATCTTAAAGAGAATATTTCTTTTATATGCAGTTGGAGCACCGCAAGAACTACCAAGATAATACCGAGGAACGCTTCCGCCTCAAGATCTTCAATGAGAACAAGCACAAGATTGCCAAGCACAACCAGCGTTTTGCCGAGGGAAAGGTCAGCTTCAAACTGGCGGTTAACAAGTACGCCGATTTGCTGCACCATGAATTCCGTGAGCTGATGAATGGCTTCAACTATACCATGCACAAGGAATTGCGGTAAGTTAGGAGTGAAATATAGTCCCATCGACAACTACTCACTATTTGTAAATTCTTTACAGTGCTACCGATGAGAGCTTCAAGGGCGTTACTTTCATCTCGCCAGCTCATGTGACCCTGCCCAAATCTGTGGACTGGCGTGAAAAGGGCGCTGTTACCGCTGTTAAGGATCAAGGACATTGCGGCAGCTGCTGGGCCTTCTCCAGCACTGGTGCCTTGGAGGGTCAGCATTACCGCAAATCGGGTGTCCTTGTATCGCTTTCCGAGCAGAATCTTGTTGATTGCTCAACCAAATATGGCAACAACGGATGCAATGGTGGTCTAATGGACAACGCTTTCCGTTACATCAAGGATAACGGAGGCGTTGACACTGAGAAGTCGTATCCTTATGAGGCCATCGATGATTCCTGCCACTTTAACAAGGGAACTATCGGAGCCACCGATCGTGGATTCGTCGATGTGCCCCAGGGTGATGAGAAGAAGCTTGCTGAGGCTGTAGCCACTGTTGGACCCGTCGCCGTGGCCATTGATGCTTCTCACGAATCCTTCCAGTTCTACTCGGAGGGTGTCTACAACGAGCCCCAATGTGACTCCCAGAACTTGGACCATGGTGTTCTTGCTGTTGGTTTCGGCACCGATGAGACTGGCACAGATTACTGGCTGGTGAAGAACTCGTGGGGAACCACCTGGGGCGACAAGGGCTTCATCAAGATGCTGCGCAACAAGGATAACCAGTGCGGTATTGCCAGCGCTTCCAGCTATCCCCTGGTCTAATCCAGAACTGATGTAATTTAGCCACAGCCTTCATATGATATGATATACAAACAAAACGAAAAACATACCAACGCAAGCATCTCAAAAGAAACTTTATTAATTTAGCCCAACCTCATACCTTTAATGATATAATTTCGTATTGGGTCCATTTGAATTCATGTATCTCTGCCATCATGTATGATATAGGTGAACAACTTATCTGTTGATGTTTGTAGAAAAATAAATAAAAATTATATAATTTTAATCAGGTCTTTAAAGTTGGAATTGTAAATGTGAAAGTTACACCCGTTTCACAGAGTTAGGAATTTTAGCGTAGCAGCACGAGTTTGAACGATCAAGTTATTATATCTATTCAAAGGTAGTTTTTGTATTTTTGGTAATAGGGAAGAATAATGTAGTAAATAGAATCGAATCCTATAACTAAGTTCAAGAAGAAATTTCGAATTTCAGAGATTTTAACTTTGAACTCGGCTTTCGTAAAGCGCAAATTTATTATTTAAAAAACATAAATATTTTTTAATTATTATTATTATTAAAAAAAAAAGAGTTTTCAAAATTTAATGAATCCAGCTTACATTTGCAATTAGTATATGAATATTAAAAAGTTTAAATTTGTAAGCTAGTGTAATCGATAATTCCACGAGTCAAAGTTTTCCGTTAATTATCGATAAACAGCAAGAACAGAAGTTTTTTACAAACTGGCAAATTGAGTTGCTGCTCTGGTCACACTTAGAAATTGGGCAATAACTTTTAACATAAGATGCACTATTTTTTTGAAATCTATCAATAAAGTGCCTACAAGATGCTGTTGACCCTTCGAGTGCAAGGAACACGTCAATTGGTAAAGTCCGCCAGATGCCTGACCAGCAGCGCAGCGCCGGAGAAGTCACCATCTGTCCAATCGCAGCTGGAGGTCAATGGGAGCACGTACGCCACCGATGGATGGACGAATGTTACGCCCAAAATTCTCTCCTACCTGGGGGCTAACAAGCATCTGCAGACGGACCACCCATTGTCCATTATTCGGCAGCGGATAGTCAATTACTTTTATGGAGCCTATCGCAACCAAAGGGGCAATCCGTTGTTTTCTGTATATGACAAACTTAATCCTGTGGTCACTGTACAGCAGAACTTTGATAATCTGCTCATACCCGCTGACCATGTGAGTCGCCAAAAGTCCGACTGCTACTACATCAATCAGCAGCATCTGTTGCGCGCCCATACCACCGCCCATCAGGTGGAATTGATCTCGGGCGGATTGGACAATTTTCTGGTGGTGGGCGAAGTTTATAGACGGGACGAGATCGACAGCACCCATTACCCGGTATTCCATCAAGCAGACGCTGTGCGGCTAGTTACCAAAGACAAACTCTTCGAGCGCAATCCCGGACTGGAACTGTTCGAGGAGACGTGGTCCGGTTCGCTGGCCGATCCTAAGCTTATCCTGCCGTCCTCCAAGTTTATGGACCAAACGAAACAGCCCTGTCACACGCTAGAAGCCGTCAAGTTGATGGAGCACGAAATGAAGCACGTGCTAGTAGGCTTGACAAAGGAACTCTTTGGACCGCGCATTAAGTATCGATGGGTGGACACATATTTTCCCTTTACTCAGCCCTCCTGGGAGCTGGAGATCTACTTTAAGGACAACTGGTTGGAAGTCCTGGGCTGTGGCATCATGCGGCACGAGATTCTGCAAAGATCCGGAGTTCATCAGTCGATTGGCTATGCCTTTGGAGTCGGTCTGGAGCGCCTAGCGATGGTGCTGTTTGATATACCAGATATCAGGCTCTTCTGGTCGAACGACAGTGGTTTCCTATCACAGTTCAGCGAAAAGGATCTGCACAATCTACCTAAGTACAAACCAATCTCCCACTATCCGCAGTGCACGAACGACATGTCCTTTTGGTTGCCCGAGGATGTGGAAGTGGACGCCGGCTTCTCGCCCAACGACTTTTATGATCTGGTTCGTTCTGTGGCCGGTGATATGGTGGAGCAGGTGAGTCGTAGTTTGTCCTAAATTTTCTTAATTTGCTAAATGTTTGGTATACTTAAATTACAGATCAGTCTGGTGGACAAGTTCAAACATCCGAAAACGGGTAAATCGAGTGTGTGCTTTCGCATCGTTTACCGCCACATGGAACGCACCTTAACCCAGGCGGAGGTAAACGAAATCCACAAGCAGATCGCAAGTGCCAGTGTCGATAGTTTCAATGTGCAAATACGTTAGTCATAGTCTAGTTCCGTTTCAATTTAAACCAAAAAACACCAGTAAAGTTAGCCAACAAAGTCAGGTATTTTATATGGTCTTAAAGCATTTCACATTTTGTTCCACCCAGTCGTTGGCGCTCTTCAATACCTTGGGATTCTCAGCAAATTCCTTTTGCGGTTGAAATTCAGTTTTGGCACCACTGCGCACGAATCCTGCTTCTCCTTTGTTAAGGATCCCGATGGAGGCCATTTCATGCATATTTACAGATTTGTTATCCCGAAAACTTTTGATGCTGAGATGTTCCAGTAGCTTTTCCAAGTCCTCAGGCTTTGGCGGACATTCTAGGAAGTTTCCTATGGTATTAATCGTGCAAGGCAGATCCGCCAACATGTCTTCGTAGCGCAGAAAGAGTACATGTGGCAAATCGGCATGCTGGCGAGCCTCCTTAACATGACTATAATAAGGCAGCCAGGGATCTGCAATATATGTTATAGAAAATGGTACATATTGCCAATAAGCACTCACTTAATCCTTCTTGAAAGTAACGCCAGTATCGCTCGAAATCCCCTACGTAGCCCTGAGTGCGGAAGAGCCTGTTTAAGTGGTAATAGGAAACCGCCACATCTTTGGGATCGCGGACAACATAGATTACCTGAAGAAAATAGCTAGTCAGTAATGTTTTATATTCTTAAAATAATGTTATGCTAGAACCACTTACCTTGCACTTATTTTCCATTACACTGGGTGGAATCAGAGAAAAAGGAAAATGGGTTTTGATAAAACGGCGTTGGGAACGGGGCAACTCTCTGAGCGTCTCGTATCCCGGCCGAGAAATCTTCTCAATGAAATCCAGGGCTTCAGATGAATCTCTGTTCTCCTCCTGCAGTTGCTCCTTGATCTTGGGATGCACGAACAATGGAAATCTTATAAAAAGAAGTAGATAAGATAAGATCATAAAACTCGCCAAGGACTCACTCCAAAAATGGAAAGCGTTCGGTAAGTGGACGCTGTTGAGCCTGCTCAAAATCCAACCCATTGGCCACTAGCCAAATGAGCTCTTGCGTCCAAGTGGTACCTGATCTGGGCACTGTTGCTATCCAAATATCATCTGGTCTTGCCTCGAAGTTGTAATACTTTTCGGCCTCTTCCTTGTACTTGTGTGGAAAGAAATATCCCTCCGATCCTACCTGAACGAAGCCAGTCCGCTCACCTGTACAGGAAAAGCATGAGGAATGGACTTATCAAGAATAACTATTAACATACCATGAAAGAAGTCTAAGAGTTCAGCATTGGTTGACTCCTCCACATCGCGAATTTCGTGGGGAAACTTTAGAGGCGACTTCTCCATTGCTCGCGCGATCAGTTGCCAGCGTTGACTGAGGAACCGCCCGTTGGGAAAGCGTTTTGACATTACTTTCGGGCCTGAGTGAAAGTTCCAGCAGCTGGCCGGCCTGGCCTGGTTAAGCACTTTGCTGCTGCTTGGCTAAGCGCAATTTAAATAAGTTTGGTTAGTTGTTGTGTATCTTTTATGAACCTGCTAAACAATCATGATGACGCTGAAGTTTTCCAAAAAGGTGTGTCCCAAGTGCCTTAATTACACCAGACAGATTTCAGTAGAACATTAAAGAAGGTTGTTTATTTTGGAAACTCGTTTTTATTAAAGATTTGTTCTACATGCTTAAAGTCCGCAAAACGACCTTAATCTGAACCCCACATAAATTATATAACTTTTGATCAACCGAAGGCTTTTGTTATCCAATTTAAAAGCTTGAAAACCGCAGATTATAATCAGGGCTTCTGTATATATATATCATATATCGGCCATATCGGCTTAGCTAGTGATCCTGATTAAACAAATATATATTTTAAAGGCGTGACATTTTCCCCTTCATTTCCCTAGCCTTTTACTCTGCTTATAAGGAGTATAATCAGGTATACTGTGTACTTCATTAAAACTTTACTAGTACAAACACAAATAATTTAAACTATTATTAGCAAGGAATTTGATCCATTTTGGGTTAATCTTTCATGTCCACATTGTCGAATAGGCTTAGCAGCTCCTTTTCCTTTCGTTTGATGCGCTCTTGAATGTTGGCCACAGACTCAGTTTTGGGCACCGAAGACTGAACTCGGCTAAAGAAATCGTCCATGGACTTGAACACGTTCTGGTATTGGTTATCATAGGTGGAGTAATGGATCGTCGGTGGCTTCTTGGGCGTACGCTTGGTCACCGCATTCCGCAAGGAGAACTCCTTTAGCTCGTCAAGATGTAGTTCCTCTTGTTGCTCGTGGTCAGCAAACCTGCGCGCCGACTGCCGCTGCACTTTTGCTTTGAGTTCGCGCCGGTCTCGATCGATCTGCTCCATCAGTTGCACTGAGGGACGTATCATCTTCACATCACCGAGGACTAGTTTATGATCAAGGATCTCCGCTTCGTTAGTCTGAATGCCAGTCTCCATTAGTTCTAGTGGTTTGGGTTCCTTAGCCTCTGCGTCATCTTGCATAGCTTCGTAGTCCAACAAGAGACTTGGTTCATCGGGCACTTGAGGTTTAGTCTTGCGTATTTTGGACGTTTCGCTGTCGCCCACTGGCTTACTTGGCCACAGGCGGGCCCGTGCCGCCTGCTTGGCTGCTTCGCTCATAACTCGCTTCTTGGGTTGCTTCCTGATTTCAGTTGAAGACGGAGGTCCCAGCAATCTGGCCTTCTCGAGAGCCGATTGTTCAAACTGCTGCTTGGCCGTCTGCTTGTTGCTGCTGGCTCTCAAGGATGAAGCTATAGTTGGCTGAACCAACCGAGATGGTGGACCCAGACGACGACCGGGCTGCTTCCAAGCCGCATCGGTTCCTCCATCGCCCGCTCCGCCGTGAACAACTTTACGTGTTCCCGCCGTTTGCGTCGATAGAGGTGCCGCTAACTTGGTGCGAACTGTAATACCAGAGTTACTTCGACCACTAGCTCCGCCGGATGATTGCATTTTCCAAGAGGGTTATTGGTTATCTTAGAGGCAACTTAATCTCAGAATCTCAAATAGTTCGATCCACTGTAATTTTTAGTTAGTTTAACTGCTTGTAAGCGATAACGAAAAATGTATGTTCCAAACAATGGAGTTGTTAACTTATGACACTGGGATCGATTTGATGGCCTACTTGGATAACATAACATAACATAACATTTAATTTATGATTTGTTCAACGAACATTTTTAGTTATCGTAAATAAACTAACCACTTCCTTTTAAAGCATAAGTTTATAGTTTATAAGCAAATGAATTTTCGACCTTTATGGCTGAAATTTTACCAAAACTAAGTTTTTGTATATAATACAAAGACTATTTAATACTAATCATTCCGTAAAATGGTCTCCAGACTCATAAGCATAGCTGATCGTTGACAATCCTCCAAAACCCATCATAAAAATATTTTTCAAATCTTTAAAGAAAATCAAGAACACATTTACAGATATTTTAGAATATTTATTGAAATTAAATGTCTTTTGACGTAAGCATTGTTTTTGAAATTAAATTTCCATTACATGGATTACAACAAATATTTCAAGACTGACGCTTATACTAAGAAATTATAATGAATTTGCACACATATAGAATACATACAGAAGACGTAATACATTTTTATTTTCGTGGAGAAAGTATATTATTCTATACTGATTTCCCCAATTTGTAAATTTTATATTTTAAAACGCCCAAAGTTTCAACTTAAGACTGAATCGCGCACAAAATTTGTGGTTTAAACTAAGGATTTTGGAATCCATAGCATAAATCTAAAATCTAGTGCTGTTGCAACCGAAAAGTGTTCACTTTGAGAGCTCCATGTCTTTTTTTTTCTCATATCAATTACATTCGCAAGTGAAGCGACTCAGCGGAAAAAGCAGAGCAAAAGTTTTGGCCAACTTTCGGGTTCAAGTTAAACCATTCTTTTGGCCTTGCTTTTCCAGTGGGTGCACATTAGGTGCGAATCTATTTGGTAGGTTGGTTTTGCTACTTGGCGCATGGATGATCGCAGATCGCACAAATGCCAATAGCAAAGTCAAAAAGAGGATCACACGGCCACTTGTTATGTCAAGCAACCGCACCGACCTCATATATGAAAAGTAGCTTCCGCTGAAGCTACAATTATGAAATGATACAACTAAACTTCTTTGGTGGGGGCGTTGGGGGAGGACGTCCAAAACTGTGACCGTTCCAACTTCCGTGAGGCTCTCGAAAGGGCTGCTGACGGTGTTGTTCGTTGAAGACAGATTGACGACGATAATCCTCGGCTCTGGAACGCATATCCTCGTATCTTAGATGGCCACTAGGAATGTGACGATAAGTCGTAGAGCTAGTTGTTGATGGCGAGCTCTTTGGCGGCGACAATGGTGTTCCTCTCGGCACTTCAATGCCATATGGAACTCCATTTATATAGCGTTGCTCATGATTAAATGGCGGTATCGAAAGGGGTTCTGGGATCTTTGTTTCCGGTCGTTGGAAAGATGAATTAACGGAAGATACAGTAGGTTTGATAACCGGACGTTTGTAAGACGAAGGCATTTGGGGTTCCGGCTTTCGAGTTACTGCTGGAACTGGTTGTGGTGGAACAACAGATTGTGAAGCATTCATATTGGTCGTTTGAACTGGAATTGATGATTCTTTGGTGGACTGCTTAGTTTCGAAATTAAAGTCCTTGAGTTGGTCCTCTATTGATCGAACTGCTTCGGAATTGTATTCCACATTACAAGGAACCTTCGGCAAGTCCTCAAATAGTTTCTCCACCTCCGATTTCTGTGGCTTGCACTGAATTCCCACTTTAAGAAGTTCGTCCTTACTATAAAATAGCTTCACGGCTTGAGCTGGATTCTTTGCATTGGATGCTGATTTGGGAAAAAGATTTCAGTTAGAGTATTCGGGATAATATAAGGCATAACAGTGTGTCAGAGAAACAAGCAATCGATGAATTAAGAACTTTGACCATTTCTTTTCGATTTATTATGCAATATAAGCAGATTCATCGAAAATGCATTGTATTCATATGGAACTTCTCTGCTCACGATTCATGTTTCTCTGGCAACAATGGAAATTATAGGGATTATTACTTCGCTTTAGGGGGTGTGAAAGGCTAAATGCAGCCGCCTCCGCACCTGTTCCTCCATGGACGTTCTTTTTACCGTTCTGCTTATTCGGATTATCATCCTCAGGATGGTATGGCACACCAACCAGCGTTTTGTGATCACGGCAAATCTCGATTATATTCCGGAAATCATCGTTTTGACTAAGAGTTCGCGGATTTCCAATCAGAATAAGCAATGAAATGGGACGCGAAAGCAGGACATTCAGACGCTACATTTTGATGAAATATATTATTTTTAAAAGATTCCCCAAATATTTGTAGTGTTTCCCATGTTGCTTATATACACTTACTCGTTCACTAGTCAAAAAACCAAGCTTGGGAGTAAAAGAGCGTACGAACGACACAATGATCACCTGCTTCTCCTTTCCCTGGAAAAGCTCTACAGATCCACAATCTATCTGCGACCAGTTGCGCATGTTAAGCTGTTCCTGGATTCGTTGATATTGGTTCTTGTACGGCGATATAATCCCAATGTCCGTCTGCTGCAACTTTTCACCATTGAGACCGAAGTACATAAGGTCCTTAACGTAGTCCATGACAGCGTCGATTTCCTTATTGTTACACAGGCTGTTGAATAAAAAACAATTATTAATCTAAGTAGAATAACCTAAAAGTAACAAAATAGAATGAAACTTTTCTTTAAGGAGAAAGCTCCAGCATAAAAGATATACCCATTGATCCACTCACCTTATAGAGTTTTTGGTGTTCATTACAGTGCCAAAGACTGAATGAAACATAATGGGAAACTCAGCATTGGGCAGATGAAACCAGTTTTGAAAACGGCAAACATTTTCTAATATACAAAAAATATATATAGTATAACTTGGATATCAATTAGTTAAAACAGCAACATACCCATTGGTGCCTGGGCCCGAAGTTTTCCATCATAGTACAAATCGCTGTACAGCGAAACAATTTTCGGATGGGAGCGAAAGTTGCGGATAAGACGCGTCTGTACGGTTGTATTGTAACTGCCGTCGTCGGCCACTTGGTAGCATTTCCTCTGCAACAATCTCTCAAACAACGACAATCCCAGACCCCAATCATTGGCCCTCTGCGACTGGAGTACAGGTCCCAGCTGCTTATGATCTCCGGACAAAATCAGATTCGACGTTGGCGATATGGTGCAGGTGATGCCCATTAAAGCCTCCGCCTCCGTGGAAGCGGCCGCCTCGTCAACAAAAACATGCGAAAACACATCTCCTTTGGCAAATCCTCCGGTTGACAACTTACCCGCCAAACTGAGAGTACAGACAACGATCCGATACTGGTGCACTGCCTGAACGGCAGGATAAAAGTGCAGAGCGTACATATTGGAGTACTCCAGAAGCAGATCGTCGATATTGTCAATGCGCCGATCGCAACTGGCGGAAAAGATGCGAGTGAGCGGTCGGGGTTGACACCCCGGAGCCTTGGCGATAGCCCGTAAAAGCCGAAGAGCCACTTCATCGCAGGCTGTATTTGAACCAGCCAGCACCAGGATGTGCGTTTCAGGACGACGTACATACAATTGGTAAATGGCTTCGCAAATAGTCGCGGTTTTGCCCGTACCTGGTGGTCCAAAAATAATAAACGGAGCCGGTAACTTATGAGTCAACGCAATCTCCTTCACTGCTTGCAATTGCTCTGGATTACTGGATATGCGCCTATTGTTCAGCTCCAGTGATCCTTGAGCAATTGGCTGGTGAGGTATATCACCGGGAAAGAGCATCCGCTGGACATCGGTGGCCCTGGTAAGAGATAGCTGCTGAAGTGCCCGGTATTGGTAACGCATTACTGCCCGCAAAGGTCGGAAGATCAGTGTGTATGTTGTGTTGTCCTGTAACTGGCGTTCACACGTAATGTTCACTCGCTGCGTCGAAACACCAAGAATGCGAGCAAAGTAGACTCTCGGTGTCTTATCCAGCGTTCCAAACTTTTCGTCCACCTTGTGAGCCCATTGCACAATGGAATCGAAATCCTTAAGTGCCAGTTCCAGCACTTGGTTATTGTTCTCCAAAAGTTGGCGTACTCCCGAAGGCGGGTTGCCTTTTTCGTTTATAATCAGGACATCGTCCCCGGGGGAGAGGACATCCTCTACGTTCATATTGTTGGTAACGGTTCGCATCTTTACCGAAAGTTCACGTCCAAACTGGTGTAGTTCCATTTTGGTTTGCTTGAGTGCCAGATAATGCTGCAGGCGTTCGATATCCTCCACCTGGAGCAATGTACGCAGAGCCCCGCTAAAATTCTCCTGGGTTATCTCCCTACCCATCTCACAATAGTTGCGATAGTGCTTGTCGAAGTCCGCTAACCTCACCTGAGCATCCTCGTGCTTCAGAGCACTTGCCACCTGCGTTGGTGGATTTGCTGGCGGAAGACCGTGGCTCTTGAAGGTCTCCTTGCTGGACAGCCGATACGGATTAATGTTGAAGCTAGCCTTCGGTAGTGCCTCTGTTCGCATGAAGTGGTGTTGCTCCACATATCGTTGTCCCTGGCTGGTAAGCCCAATCACAATGGGCTGCTCCCGAAGAATCATAAAGACATGTGAGTCCACAAAGAAGACAAGTTCGCCGCTGTCCGGCACCTTCAGAGGCATTCGTGCATTATACACGTAGTAGAACTGCCGCGACTGAACTATGATGAACTTGTCCACCACCAAATCCTTGCGACCAGTCTTCAAAGTGAATCCGAAGTAGTGGCTGTCCACGCAAGTCTGATAAGAGAGGATCACCAGGGGCGAGGCACTGTAAAGACAATATTTATATTATGTAAAATTAAAGTTGCAATCAGTTTTATAACTAAATATAGACCTATCAGAGTGGGGTTCATTGAGATTATTAGGTGCATTTAGTATATTTTTTTGTTTGTTAATTTATCAATTATACAGTTAGTAAAAAACTTAAGGTTAACGAAACTTACAATTTCTGCATCTTATTGAGAGACTGAAAATCGAACTCATCCCCATGGTACTCCACATGCTCTTCATACTTTTCAATTGAATCGAAGTTCACCTGGCAGATATAGCAACCTAGAGAGTTAAGCTCGAAATCCTTTTCCAATTTTTGCACCTGCGTCTTTTGGTACATTAATGGCATAGCCTTGGCATTCGTATCAAGTTGATATTCTGCCAACAAAAATGTTAAGCTATTAAGAAAGTTGGATAAATTGTGTAAAAAATATATGTACCTTCAGTTATAGGTTGGTTGCCCTCCTCAGGAACACCGGGAACAATAGGCGTAACATCCTTTAGACGATGCTGTTCATCGATCAAATTGAACTTCTCCTTGCGAAACTCCATCAAGGAGAAGCTCTTGATCCGATAGCTATTGCCTCCCCTTGGAGTGTTGATCAAAAAGTTGGTCCTTTGCAGCAGAGCTCCAATCTGATGGGTTTTGAAGAAAAATGAAACGTTGCATTAAAGTGCAATTGTTATTGTTTACATTCAACAAACAATCGGTTATGTATCAACTGATTTCTTGAGATATCTGTTGGTCAATAATCTGCACTGTCGTAATTGGAGTCTACAATGGTCTTAGGGCATTAAATAGGAAAAAAAAAAAAACAAAAAATCGGTGAATCACACGATTCCGTCGTTATAATTTCACCATACTGCTAAAGAGTTACAATATGCATGGCAGATTTTACGTTTGGTTTCGTGTTTCCCAATATCATTTTAACGGATCTACATAGCCAGGGTGAAATGGGAAATTCTACAGGGAAAATCTGTTTTTATTGGGAATATCCCAGTACTATTTAAAATTCACCTACCCAGCACGAAAAAAAGAAAGGTATACAACCCACCACATTAACTTTGTTAAATATAAGCATGAGTATTTTACGTTTTATAAATGCAGTTAGAAGGGCCTCTGCTTTCTCGACAACAATAGTTTGCCGCATAAATAAAGAAATCTGATTCTGGCACGTATGCATTTTTTGTACTTAAATTTATTTGTTTGTAAAATGAAGCATGCTAATTGACCGAAAATCAACTTGAGTTTTACGTTTGACAATTATGACAATATTTCTATTAGTTTTTTTTTGTAAACTCCCTCGTCCAGTTTTACAAGCAATAAAATACAATGCAGATCGTATTTCGTAGATATTAGAATTGGTTTATATTCCTGAAATTTAATTGTCAACTACAACGGGCTGTTAAGCCTGACTAAGCTTTTGTTTTGAAATTAATAATGGGTTCTAACAGTCTTAAGAACTAAACATATGTATTTTTGTTACGTAAGAACCAGTTCTGCAGTTCACTTAAAAAAATTAACAAATGTTGAAATGAAGAAACTTTGTATATTAAGATAGGTAAGCCCTAAATCACTATCAGCATTTTAAAGAAGGAAATGAAAAAATTTGAATTCACAAGAAAATCTTCGTTTAATAACAACTTTGGATCGCCTTGTTCTTGATTTTTATAAGTGTACCACTACAAAAGGCGAACGATACTTTTATTGTGCTGCAATCAGTGCCCACCTGGGACTCCCCTCAACAAATATTAGCTGTATAATCACTTGACTTCCGAGTATAATCACATTATATCGCTATCGACAAACATTCCCGGATCCTTCTAGACGTGAAAACATATTAATTTGGTATACAATGTACATGTATGCAAGAAAAAATGGCTTATTAAGGTTTGTCCAATTTAAGCTAATTTATAGAAAGGTTATGGGATATCCCCGATTTTGGTCCCTTGGGAGAATAATCCGATGGGGCAAACCCCCCAACTAAGTGAGTCATTTGCTTGAGCGAGTTATTAGACGTCTAGCGAGCTAATCATTTAGACACACCGGCGATCAAATGTGAATGTGTTTGTGTTTTGTGAGCTGTGTTGATAATACAAAACAAAAAAACAAATGTTTGGACTGACAGAAAACAAAGGAAATCGATGCAAAATACACTCTTATCGCGGGTGGGCCAGTAAATTGGCAATGGGTGTTGGCGTTCTAGGTTCACTGACAAAATTTAAGAAATGTTTATATTTCTCTTAGAGCACAGTTAACAATGTGTTAAAAAAAAACAAATTAATTACACTTACGCTTTAAATTGAATTTTAAATGAAATTTTCAATATCAAAAATATTTAATTTCAAAAAAAAAAATTGTCTGTTTTTAAAATCAGTGGTATTAAAATAGTTTTTAGAGCATGAACTCGTTTTTAACGAAAGTTCACGATTTACAAAAAATGTATTAAATCAATATGTTAACTTTAAATGTATAGTCTATACTTTATATATAAAATTATAAATTCAAATATAATCTCTGCGACAAAAGTTTATGCAAGAGTGTTTACTGTTGATCTGGACAAAGGAAATACAAGACTTGATAATGTATTATCATGTTTTAATACTCACATTCCAGGCTCCCTGAATGCTGAGCTTTAGGCGAACTTCGCCGCTGTTAGGCAGGCCCTTCAAATAGCCTTCGAACATCTGGCGCAGCTTAACCTTATCCACATACCACTCGGTCTGAGCACTGATCACCTGACACAGAGCCATTTCCAGCAGAAAGTTCCCGATGAACTCGCGCTCTGTTGCCGGTTAAATCGTATGGATTGGATTTGGAATTGTTATATTGGGTCTATATATGTATGTTTATAGCTTACCCCATGGCACTGGAGGTTTACGTGGTATTCCATTTGCAAAGGCAGCAGCTCCGGGTGCTTTTATGCCATTATTGACTGGCGGCGTCGATGGCGGTGTTAACATATCAGGTGGAGTACCGGTACCATTGTTTTTACTTATTTTGCCGGCCGCGTTCTTTTTTTGATTTTTATTTTTTGTCATTTTTGCTAAATCTTTCTCTTTCTCTTTGTATTTTTGTTTTGTTTTTGCTTTTTTCGAATGCACTAACAGGTACAATAGATATTTTTTAGCGAAAGAAGTTTTTATGGTTCTTTAAAGTACGATCCCAATTAAAAGTTAGTTATTCAATGCGAACACAAAGCTCTTACACAGACACACATAAACACAAATAGATTTCTATATAGTATTATTTTACTATTGTACTACAGCTGACCGAAGCGATCGAAGTTCACGACGCGGCGTTCAGTAAACGAATATCGCGAATGATGCACCAGCGTCATTTATATAGTAGAGCAGAGGCTTACGATAAAGGGGTGCATGAGAGAAGTACTGAGAGTATGCATAATAAAGTAATAATATTGCAATGTTGCTTAAGCCACTTAACGAAATAAATTCAAAGTAGTTTTTAATAAAAAATAAACACTTCTTCATAATTTAAATCAATTTTACCGACGACTCTGTGTATGCCTGCTCGTGCATACATATGTAGCTGAGAGTCTTTCAAAATAACGGGGCTTAGTTCACCAGAACTGGAACTAAGGAAACACTGGGAATGAAATACTCGCCACCATACTTACATATCACTGCGAATTTTGTTAGTTATTTTTTTCCCCTGGCGCCTCTTAATTATGACTAACTTTTAATTGTTAATTGTTTTGTTTCCAATAAATGTGCTTGTGTATTTTTTCATTTGAATTTGAGCGTCTAATACTTTTTAAAAAATGAAATTAAACAAACACATCACTTTGACTTGAAATTCGTGGGAAGTCCCGAACTTAAAAATTGGATTGCTGGACTATTGTGGCTATCGGTACGTTCGATTGTTGCATATCAACAATTGGTATTTTACAAATAAGTATTTCAAATACTAGATACCAACATCAATAAGGGGTGATCCTTAACATACAATTATTTAAACTCATATCAACAATATTTAGAAGTGATAAGAAATAATTTCTTTTTAATTCACACATTTGTGTCAGCTTTCCCATTGTCAAATAAAGTGTAAATAACACTTTAACTATTTTTAAATATATAACTAATAATTTATTTCTTTTCGACTTATAAGATAAAATAATTAAAAATCTAAAACAGAAAAGAATAATTTCTCTCCTTAAAGAGTGAACCTAAGATAATACAGACTATTATTTACTTAAATATAAATCGTAAATATATCTTAACAAATAAACTATTTCTTGGCCAGCTTAAGCTTTTCGGACCCAAAAATAACTCCAGTATCATTTAGCTTGCGTTTCATAGCAAATGGATTGACCGAATTCAATGGAGTTCTGTGTTCCGGGGTTTTACCCATGGGAACCTCGGGCTCGGATTCGCCGAATATATTCTCCTGGGTATCCCTCGGAGAGGGCGTAATATCCGGAGTCGAGGGACGAGATGTTGCCGATGCTGCTTTAAAAATGTTCGGCGAGTTGGCTAATCTTTTCAGGGTGCCCCGTTTGGCTGAGCTCAGCTCGATGGCCTTGGGCTTGGGTCCGCTCTGGGAGCCCGATGTGGGAGTCATAGGTAAAACAATGGTGGCAGCAATGCCGCTGGCGCCCAACAAAGTCTGTTGCTTACGAGCCTCCTGCACAGCTTCCAATTGAGGCAGCAACTCGCATAGACGATCTGACAGGTGTATGCGTCCGCGCTTTGTGGCATATTTCACAGCCAGTTGGAGCAGATCAGTGCAAGCAATTGATTCGATTAGTTCCTTAGCCCGCGTCTCGCACTCGCTGCTGCAAGCCAAGGCAAACAATTTGATGGCCGTCTCTTTTTGCATCTTTTCGGCTCCCTCAACTTGCATCAGGCTTGAGCGCAGCAAAGCATCCTCCAGTTCGGATTTCTCAACTTCGATGTCGCATAGTGGGATCTGCACGCGCAATTCCTGAAGCATAGGCCGTGGATTGGTCATCGGATAGGAAGTTCCACGGCACAGAACGGCTTGGACAATTTGACGACGCTCCGAAACAGCAACCACAAAGAAATTGTGCGACACACTGCTGCTCTGCTTCATGGTATCGCAGATGGGGAACCAAGCGTTGCTGCTACGGCGGTACAACTGCAGTAGACCCATGTTGTCGGCAATGCTCGGTGATCCAGTATCGCTGTATCCCAGCCAGGTGAGCTGCCGGCCCGGAGTCAGCGGTACAGGCAGATGTTCCATGCGCAAACTTAGTCCATTGATGTTAACTAACATTGCGGCGAGATATTGCTGCGTTTGACTGGGCGCAGAACTGTGGTATACCACCATCAGGCTGTGCTCGTGGCCAGATAGAGCCACCACGGGACCGGGAATGGTCAGCACCTCACGCTGTGTGCCCATTACACTAAATATGCGTAGAAAACTCGAACTGGTGGCCACAGCCACTAGATGGCTGGTGGCTACTAGAGCGTCCACACTTTCGCAATCCGGCAAACTAAGCGACCACTCCTTGTTTCCGGCGGCGGCCAAAGCAATCACTACCAGCTTACTGGACTCATTGGACGCCAAAGCCAAAGCTCCACTACTCAAACTCGCCAAATTGTGGTTATTGTAGTTGCTAATGTGCAGGGCATGGTGAATACTTGCGTCATGGAACTCCACATCGATTGAGCCATCGCCTGAGGGCTCTACATGTGCAGTGACAATGCCCACATCATTCCACGACATGTATCGATGCTCCAGGTCGCTGGGCGTGGCACTGGGTTGGAAGGCTGTCTGCTGCTTGAAGAGCTTTATTTGCGGAATAGCAGGAACAGGAACAGTTCTGCTACTGCTAGCCACGGATTGGTTCGAGTTTTCATCGTGGTCGACGGCATCTACCAAGTTCATCACCTTGCGTTTTAGCTGCTCCAGACTAACACCATCGCCGTCGTCTGCTGCGATATCCATGTCATCGCCACCTTCGAACTGATAATCATCGCCCAAAAGTTCCGCCTGGTCGTCCTCCAATCCGTCAACACCGCCATTTTCGACTGCATCGCTGAGGAACACAGTTCCAAGCTGACCAGTGGCATCACAAAAGGCTACCTCCTCTTCCCCAGATTGATTCCAAGCTAGGCACGTTATTGCATTGCAATCGTTGGGCGGCATCTCCACTGAAATTGCCTTTCGCTTTTTTACATCAAAGATGCTTACCTCGCCCTTGGTTGTTCCAGCGGCCAGGCGTTCACCATTGGGGGAGAACTGGCAGCAACTGTAGTTACTCGATACTGAATCGTCCCGTAGTTTGAAGGCCACTTCCCAGTTGGCCGTATTGAGAACCACAATCTCGTTGTCTAAGGCGTAGGCCAGGAGTTCGCCGCTCTTTGGCTCAAAGTTAGGTGTGCCATAAAGACTGGCCGTTTCAAAAGTGTTAACTTTAGGCAGTCCACCGATGCTTTTCAGCTCATTTCCTTCCTCGAAGTTCCACACTTTCAACTCGCCATCTCCGGCCACGGAAACTAGCAATTTACGCTCTACGAACAAATCCAAAGACAATATCGGTCCTTTGTGTCCCTCCAGAACCGTTTCATTGCCAGGTGTATCTCCTTTAAGAACCTTAATGTTGGTATCCTCGCTGCCGGCAGCCGTGTAACCCCCGGAAACCTTAAGGCACGTTGCAGGGGCTGTAAACCGCATAAGAATGCCATCGCTGTCCATATCCGGAAAGGTGTAGGCATGCACCGTGTTGCGATCCGTGGATGCCAGTAGTCGCGTGCCCGTGTGGGCGATGCACATGACAAATTCCCCTAAGCAGCTGGAACGCGGATCGTCGTCACTAATGCAAGTCCAATGACGGATGTCTCCATCTGTGCCGCAAGTGATGATGAACTCTCCACGAGGAGTGTACAGTAGTCCGGTGTAGCCATTGGTATGCGCATAGCGCAGGGCACTACGCGAGAAGCTCATAATGGGATGGAATATTAGAAAACAATTATTAACTCGTGCTGATCCTCACCACTTTTGGCGGTAAAACAAAATATAACAGTGTTGACCAACTACCATATATCGATGTTTAGTTCTCGTTTATTTACAACACTGTTTAAACAGCTGTTGCTATATACCCTACAATATTAGGTGTTGAAACTTAACTTAATGTATGAATTCAAAACACACTAATAAGAACTTATTGCTATGTTAAAAATTTTAAAAATATATTTTAATAGGCCAAATAAAAAAAAGCTGAGAAACGCATCCTCCCTAAATATTACTTTAATTTTTTAGAGGTATTACATTAAGAAACAAACGATAGTAGGGTATAAAATCATCGACTTGTAGAAAACATTAACAAAATGTTTTCATTTTGTCATAGCCGGTTGATTATTACAGCATTGCATTAATCCAAAGAGAGATAATGCTAAGAAAATTAAGTAAACTATCGACTTTAAAAGTCAGGTGTGAGCTGCGCCCTTTATCCTCTCTTAGCCAAACCTCGCAAAACATATTCGACCGGAATGCCAAGAGATTGCAAAAGGAAAGAGCCGCCCTCAGGTGAGCTTTTCTTCATACTATAAAAAAATTGCTCTAAAATAAAAATGACTTCTACAGTGAAGATGTAGGATTATACGATTACCTAAAGGAGGAAGTGGGTTTTCGCCTGGCAGACAGAGTTTTCGACATCAAGCGAGAATTCAAAGCGGCGGCGGACATAGGATGCAGTCGTGGTTATCTGTCGAAACACATCCTAGCGGAGAGCGTGGAGCATCTAACCCTCACGGATACCAGTGCCTCGATGCTGGAGCAAGCGCAGGGAACTCCAGGTCTTAAAATGTTAAAACTAGTCAAAGATGAGGAGGATCTAGATGTAGGTAATAAAGCTATTTACCCCGAAATCATAATTCTAAGCAAGAATCCCTTTTTAGTTTGAAGAAAATTCCCTAGATCTTGTCATCTCTAGCTTGAGTCTGCACTGGGTAAATAACCTGCCCGGCTGCTTCGCCAGGATCAAGCGTATTCTAAAACCGGATGGTGTCTTCATAGCCTCTATGTTTGGCGGTGACACTCTGTACGAGCTCCGCTCGTCTCTCCAATTAGCCGAACTGGAACGCAAAGGGGGAATATCCCCTCACATTTCACCCTTTACCCAGATCCGTGATATTGGATCCTTACTGAATCGTGCTGGTTTCACCATGTTGACCATAGACACCGATGAATTGGTCATCGGCTATCCCAGCATGTTTGAGCTAATGTGGGATCTCAAGGGAATGGCTGAGAACAATGCGGCATTTAATCGGCCGGCCCATCTTAGTCGGGATACAATGCTGGCGGCCAGTGCCATCTATCAGGAAATGTATGCCAAGCCCAACGAGCAGGGTATACCAGCAACCTTCCAAATAATCTACTTTGTGGGTTGGAAACCCGGTCCCAACCAACCTCAGCCCCTCGCTCGCGGTTCAGGGGAGGTGTCCCTCAAGGACCTTGGCGCTGTCATAGAAAAGGGTGGCAAGTTGGATACCAAGGCGGGGGATTAGCTTAGCTTCAGTTGACAGATTTATTTTGAAACGCTGTTGAACATAATTTAAACTAAAATAAACATAATTCCTTTTGCTGAGAAACTTAAACTAGTGATTCATGTTTGTGTAAAGGTTAATCATGAAATTAATTATAAATACTCAATTCATTTGTCAGTTTTTTCTGGTCGTGTACTGCTATGCTGGTATAACTATACATATATCTAGCGTAATCATTCGATTCTCTGTTATCTATAGCTTTCAATTAATATTTGGTTGCTTTTCGCCTTTACATTCGTTTGCATTTCATGGACGTAACTTTTTAACGTTGCTTTGTATTTTGTTCGGTACGTATATACAAGTACAATTTACAACAATTTCTATATATAATATATGTTTTGAGTTGAATTCAATATGCAATTAATAGATTTCTAACCGCTTTGTAGTTGTATTAGATACGATTTGCTCTTGCTTAAATATTGTTCCATTAGCATTTTGTGTATGTAATTCTCGATTGCTTTTATCAATTGTTTAACTCGTAACTTTTTGTAAATTTAATTTGGCGCATCTAATCCCGGAATTGGGTTTTCACTACCAAGTCGTGCCCAAGCTTCCCGCGGCGTATGTACAAAGTGTATGACTTCAGACTCTTGAAGCTTGTTGATTGCTAATGCTGCTCCTATGGAAGTCCTAGTTTTAGTGTTTTCAGCGGGGGCAGGGCTAGAAGACTTAAGGCTAAGCAAAGGCAGGCGACGGCAAGCACCAGGAACTAGGTAATCCCACTTCGGTTTGCCGCCTCCTTTTGCTTTGCTAGTCATCCCAACGCTAGTGGAGATCTTGGCGGCACGGGCGGCGGCGTGGGTGTGGCTCTTGGCGAAGATGTGGGGCTAACTCCCGATGCTCCTGCTACTACTAATCCCGTAGAGGTTGCTGTGGTGAGTGTTTGACGGTTCTCTGCAGCTGCCTGCGTCGTGGCGGACGCAGGCGGCAGCTGACGTCAGGTGCCCAGAAGCATTTCACGCTGCGGTGTGTTCTGCAGCATGTTGGCGGTCCTCAGGTGAATACTGCAAGGGGAGTGGGTGGTAAAAAGTTAGCTTAAGATACTTGAAAAGCCGTTGTATCGTTTATAACATGTATTTTTCAATAATAATGAATACATATACTTACTTATTGTCCTCCAGTGACATGGTCTCGGATGAGCCGTGCGAGGCAACTGAAGTACCTGCAAGCGAACTTCGTATTGAATGCGAATCCTCGGGAACAGTAAGCGTAACTAATAAATTGCATTTATGGGTATACATTTTCGAGTTTTTTTTTTTTTTTTTCGTATTATTCAAATTTGGTTTGACCAATCCCAGTTCGTCGTGTTGCCAATGCGTTGGAAAGAAGTTTGGTTTTTGGAAAATTGCATTTAGTTTTTGATTGTGGTTGTGGAAATGTGAAATTTTGGTTAGCGGTGTTAGTGTTGTTGTGGTTGTTGTTTGTGAGGTGCAAATCGAATCGAATACTGCAGATTATTACTTGGTTCTGAACCTGAAACAGTTCTTGCACAGTACAATAGAAAAGATAATACTGATTGCTAAATCAACCATGCCGGCGAGTGTATTTTTCATTTCAGTACAAAATCATATTTATTTGTGTGGTACTTTTTGCTATATGTATAATCATATAATTATTAGCTAATCAGATTACAACTACCATTTCAATTTGGCTTTAACATAAACTAAAGTTGAGTTTCTTTTGTAAGGCAAAAATAAGATAAATGCAAGAGCAAAGCTTAAAGTACATAATTAGTACGGGGTAATAGGTAGTTAATAAGTATGGAGAAGTAGTTAAACGGATAACAATAAATATTAACCGTTGTACGTAGTTTTAAACGGAATCGTTGGAGTCTTAGGAGTTATCAGTTTTTGGAATATTAAGTTGAGACTCTCGGTTAGGTAATATCGGAGAGTGGTAGAACGTAGGCAGAATGTGGGAAAAAACACTAAAACACAAACATCGATAGCTAGCATGTTCTAGCAGATTAATAACAAATTCAAATTTCCTGTCGATTTCGACAATACAAAAATTAAAGCTAAGTACGTGTGGATATTACTAGCGAATGTTTAAGGTTTTCTTTTGGGGGAATCGTTATTGGCATATGCGTTTTACAAACCAAGGTGGCAAAACATTTAACTACACAAAGAAATATTACGAATTACGAATAAACTAAAATTAGAGTCGTGTGTTTTCCACGCTCAGCGCATCATCGTCATCTTCATTCGCTGCATCTCGATTCCCGATGTCCATGTGCCGGGCTCCGTCACCGTTCTGCATGATATACACTACTTGGCTGCTCGGTGTCTTCGGATGGAGGGGTAGCTGTTGACGCTGGAGCACTTCCAGAGCCTGATCCAGATCGAGGCGATTACGACTGTCGCTATCGCTACTAAAGCTGTGCCTCATGTGCTGCAACCCGTTGGGCAGAGCTGGATGCGGCTGTAGGTAGCTGAGATTATGGATACTCTGGCTGCGGGCAGGGTCTTGGGCACTATCGAGTGTGGTCACCACAAATCCGTTGCTGTACAGCGAGTAGCTACTATTCGCCGGCGAGGTGGCTAAGCTAGTGATACTCTGAAAGGTTTTCATTGAGTATCCATCACCTAGGAACAGAATTACAGAAGCGATTGCGGATTAGGTCATATCTGATTTCGGTTTTTATTTTGCAGCTCCGATTGCCGGGAAGACGTAGAAGCGGTGGTGGCTTGTGATCGAAACGGATATATATGTACACGCAGCGGACAATGTTAGACAATGGTTACAAAAATGGATCATCCGATTACATGAACGTCGAGGGGCGTATTTAATAAGCATGAACTTTGTGGTTGCCTTGGTTATTGGCCCTTAAATGCTAGTACTTTACATAAACAGTTAGAATTAGTGCCCAGTAGATCCATTACAGCTAAAGGGGTATCGTCTAAAACTTGGTATTTCATCCAGAACCACTAACATTCGATACTCTTACTCGAACCATCACATTACACAGATAAGAGTTCTCTTCTTTTCCCGCCCCTTTCAACGTGCAAAAGGTCAATATTAGCATATTATTCAATTAGTTTAATGCTTCGGTCAGCGAGATGATGACGCACTTGGGCTGAATTGCCAACGATGACCCGCTGAAAGTGGCTACGATCTTAACGTAAACTCAAACTGAAAAACTATACGTTGCTACACAAATATACAAAATAACATATGCCATATAATTTTCTATAGCTAAACAGGAATTTGTACATAGGATTATATCTAAGGCAACACCGATTCAAGTTCGTTCTGGGGAACTGCTTGTGTTTCTGTTTACATATACATGATATATACATATAATTTGTGATAAACTTGCACCACACAATACGAAATAAAGAGTAAGAATATTCAATTAAAATTGCAGATTATAGTTACAGTCGGGGGTTAGAGTAAGTGGGTTGTTTAAAGCAAGCATTAGTATTAGTAGATAAACAGTGTAAGGACTTGTGTGTTACTCATGACTTACCCGTGGCGCACTCGGAAGTTTCGTAGGACACTGTGGATTGAACGTCAATCGCGTTTTGTTCTTGTCTGCAAATAATAGTATTATCTCTACAATTTTATTTTATTTAACTATCATGATCCCACCTTGATATCACATCTGTTATGACTTGTTTCTCTGCATCTGTGTAATCGTTTCTTCTGCGCCCGATCTTTTTTTCCATGTCGGCCTCCACAAAGTCGCCCAATTTGCGGGTGGGAAACTCATTTGATTTCGCAGGCGGCGGCACATCCAGCTTGAGGTCCTTGAGTTTCTTCATCACTCGCTCCAGGGCCTGAATGGCGTCATCGTCGCTGTAGCCAAAGTTCTTATGCAGTTTCACTTGCAGATACTCGATGATGGCGTCCATGTCCTTCAAGCGCAGCAACTCGTCTTTGTGAAGATACAGAATGGTGATGGCCATGGACAGAATAACGCGATCGCCATCTAACATGAAAATGTCCCACACGCGCAGACTCAAACTGAAAGGGACCTGCAAAAAGATAAATATTCGATGAATTTGTTTTACGAATACAACTTGTGGTTACTCACCCGTTCTACGAAGACAACAAAGAACCACTTGATGGCATACAGCAGGGCGTCGACGTTATGTTTGGTAAAGTGCTTATGTAGTTTACGCATTATTTTTGACATGATGCGGTCATGATGGTCTATAAATCGCGTCAGCTTGGGGAATCCCTCAATAAACAGCCCATGCATTCCATATTTTTGGTCTGTTATCAGCGTGTTAAGTGCCCAGAAGGCCTCCTCCTCATTTAAATAAAGCAGCAACACACCGGCCACGCAGGCCATGCCCTGGCAGTAGCCCAGCTCTGAGTTATAGATACTGTAGGCGTTGAGCACATTAAATAGCGAGCACTGCTTTACGCTGTAGCGCTCTCGAAAGGCAAGATTGTCGCGAAACTGGCGATTAACATCCGCATCGATCTGTCGGGTCTCCGTTGAATACTTCCTGGCCAGCTGTAGCATACGTGGATAGACGCCGGTATTCCTGTCGATCGCATGCTGGATGTCCAGCAACTTATTCCAGGCAACCATCCGCACACGATCCGGTATGCCCTTGTAGACGCGCTTATGCAACTTGTCGTGGGGCGGTGGCCATTGATTCAGCATCTTTACCCACTTCTTGTCCCGCTCCATTTCAATTTTATTACGATGCATCTCTTGGGCGTCCCGCGTCGTCGGTAGGCGGGAGTCGTGCATAAAGCCATATCTGTGGAAGGGAAAGATTTATTAATGGGTTTTCACGTTATTAAATTCGCATCTTACTTGTCTGTAATGTGGTATAGCTCGAATGTGGGATTCTCCCATGAGTCAACCACATTGCTGGGATCTAGACCAAGTTCGTAACGCCGGAAGATGTCCTCGCGCTCGTCCTCGGCCCGCTTGACCAACGCCTCCTGCTGTTCGCCGTCCGTCATTTGGAGTAGGGTTTGAATTTGGCGGGAGGAGGCGGGGGTAAGGATTGGGGGGAGCAGGAGCAGGAGCCGGATCCGGAGGAGCAAGTGGCCAGAGCTGGATTCTCCGTGCTCTCAGTTGGGGAGCGGCTGCTTCTGAGCTGGCTCGGCGATAGCACGAAACTGCGATAAAAAGAAAAAAATAACAAAAACAAAAGCATTAACATATGAAAGCGATCCACAACATTATATACTATGTATGTAGCTAATGAACCTATGACGCACAACCAACTCTATTATATATTTAAATGCAGTCAAATCAATTTGCTCGTGGTGTTTGGAAAAGCGTGGCATAAATGACGTGATGTTTCACTAAATATCCAATGCAGCATCAAAACATTTAACCAGAGAAACCAGTCGTTAATGCCAAATAAAATCCCAAAAAAAACGCCCCCTGATCTGCGGACAGATGTGAGTGGGCCATAAGTGTATAGATTCCATACTGTCCCCCAGTTTTTGTCGCCTATTTTGAATGTGCAATCTTTATGTTTTATCGTTCACACACTTCCTGTTTTCGCTGCGATTTGTTGTATTTTGTCAACACAGACACACGCATACAGTTACAACCACACACACACACACTCGGAGCCGAGAGAGTATTCTTGCTTTCACTGGCTACTCTGTACGGTTAATTAGCCCCTTCGAATTCAAACGTTTGTTTACCATTTAATTTTGTATTGCCAATTCTTATTATCCGCACTGATCGGTTGTGTTTGCTAACTAGTTTTTTCACTATTTTATCTTGGCTGCATGTTTCCGATACATTTGGGTGGCGAATGTGTGTGTGAGCGGCTAGAGTTGCCAGACCAATGCAATTGCCTTTCAACGTAACGTTATGAAACCAGGGATGCGAAACAAAACAAATATGATTCTGCAGCCAAACGTAATAACATATTCGAAAACCAAATCTTAAAGACAATTGAAAGATGTTATGTCATGTGAGTTCATTCTTTTTTAAGTTAGTATATGTTTAAATATTATAGTAAATAAGAAATATATGTAAAACAAGTAAAAATATAAAAAAAATATAATTATATTATATATATTATTATAATTTATATTATATTATTATATAATCTATATAAATTAATGTTTTAATTATATTTATAAAAAATATACATCAAATAAATTAAATAACAAGATTTTGAAAATCGCGAGGAAAATGTTTCAAATTTTGCACACAATATTACCACCTTGCTCGATATCAGATTAAACTAACTAAAGTTGCCAGAGTTACCAGCGAAAAACATCGACAAGCCAGTAGGTGAGCAGCCATCGTTTGATCGATATTGTTATCGCCAGCTCTAGTTCCACCTCTATGGCCTCTCAAAACAACAAAAAACAGCGCGAGTCGGACGCGGTTTTATCGTCGAGCGCGGTTTCTTTGTTTTAGCGCTCGAAAATTGTCGAAAACTTTCGTAAAAAATTACACTTCAATTAAGTAACTGAAAAGTGCATGCTAAGTGAGCAAGAAAATGAATTAAACGTGTACATAAAAGTGAGAAAAGTTAATAAACAAAACACAATTTGTTGGCGGCGTTATATTATTTTTGTTTCCAATTCTGTGTAGGATTTTTCCGGTATTAAAACTTAACTATGAAAACAGTGCAAATTGTTAACAGTGTATTATGAGATAAAAGTAAGCAAATATTAAATATTACTTTTAAAATAAAATGCAACCCTCAACAGCGTCCTTTGCTTAGGTGTGCGTACATTATTTATTTGTAAGTGTCCGTGTGTGTATGTGTGTGTTTGTGTTGCAAGGGAAAATTGCCGACTGTAAATAATGTTTAAATTTAATTTGAGACGAAAAGAGAGTTTTTAAATTGCAGCACTAGCATTTACCGTTAGGGCGAGAGTAAACACATTCAACATGTTGCAGTCACTAAAGAAAAACTAAAACAAAAGCAAAGCGGATCACTCTCTCTCTCCCGCTGTAGTTCTCTTTCTCTCTCATTGAGTTTTAAGTGTTTTTGCCGTGTTTTGTTTTGATTTTCACACGCACACAAAGGCACATTTATAGACCAAGAGAGGAAGAGAGAGCAGAGAGTGTGTGCTCTTTTGATTGTTGTTGCATCTAATAAAATTGTGCCGTTCTTGTTGTTGTTGCAGTTGGATTAAAAGTCAAAGCATTTATCAGTGCTAAATCGAAAGAAAACACAAATAAAAACAAATCAAAAGAAATCAGAATCAAATTGGATTATCAGCACAGCTTCTGGGTAAGTACATTTTTATATTCTTATCGCCAAATTAGTTTATAGCGTTTTATACCCGTTTGTGTGTGGGTGGTTTTTGCATTTAAAAACCAGTTTTATTTCGGGTTTTTATATGCCTCTTTTTTTGTATTATTTGAATTTTGATAAGACCTTGAAGCGATTTTTGGTGTAGAACTTCGTTTGATTGATGTTTTTATGCTCGAGGGAGCTTAAGCCACAAGCTTGGCTTTTTAAAAATAGATCAAGACCAGTTTTTCGAGGCTTTGAAATTGCCAAATAATTTCCTAAGCATAAAGTGCACTTTGTTGTTGTTTTTCTTGTTGTTGTTGCCTGCATCGCCTAGAAAATGATGGATGTACAATGTGCGCTCTATCTCGTTCTATCCATTCAAGCCATCCCACTCGCACATCCAGAAGTTGTCGGTTGAGTTTTTACGGCCTTCTCTTTTGTCTTTTCATTTATTTGCCTTTGTCTTTGGGCTGATGACTTTGTTTTTGCCTTGTCTTTGGCTCTCTCGCCCTCTCTATATCTCTGCTTCTTCTTAATCGTTGATCCTTTGATCCTTGTAGGTAGAATAGGAGAGAGAAACAGATTGAGATTGAGAGAGAGGAAGTGCGTGGGAGAGAGAGTTAACCGTTGTTCCGTTCATTTATATCTGCAAGATACTCGAATCTTCTGCTTTCAACCCATTCGATAAATACTTTATCTTTGAATTTTATTGGTTAGATTAGCAGAAAAAGTTATGCAATTTTATTATTATTTATGCAAGAATTTCAGTCAACTTAAAACAATGATGTATAGCCTTAAAATGTACTTATCTTGTATATGTTCGCAATATTAAAAGCATTTCCTCTTAATAACGTATGTGTTGTTATAATCTAAAATGTTATCTTTAAACTCTATGGGTACTTGGAAACTTTTAATATTAAAAAGCATGCCCTAAATTCCTTAATATTTATATTTAATAATAAAAACCATGCCCGACCCAACTAAAGTGGGACGTTATCCTTAAAGCCTTTTCAATTATGTATATTATTATATTTTTAATGTTAATCCTTTGATCTTTAAGTATCTTTAGTAATCATAATAGCCATTGATAATTTTATACTGTATAAATATATAAACATTCTACCGTACTATATTCATTGCCTATTTAACCTTCGGTTTCGCATAAAGAAAGATTGTAAAACTTTCCAGTTTTTTATACTCTCGAAGAGCAAATACCAATACCAAGTGCATTCCACTGGAATACCGATGAAGGGCATGCATTTAAGCACAATACCTGGCATACTCGACATTTTAAATACTTTTCTTCACTTGATAAACAGTGTTATTTGTTCGGGTCGTTAAGTGACGTTTTTTTTTTTTATTTATACATATATCTTTAAATTTTCTCCCTCTGTTCTCCACCGTTTGTTTTGCCCCCGTCTTCGCATATGTACGTCTTCGAGTGGTCTAACATGTAATGTATGCTTCGTCTTTAGTTTCTTGTTCGTTTCGTCTTTGAGACACACCGGAAGTTGTTGCTAGGCTGGAAAAAAGTTGTGTGTTTGTGATTTCTTCAGCGGTGTCTCCATCTGAATCTTTATCTTGCCATGGAGCCGGTACATATGTATATGGTATATCCCTCTCTATCGGCAGGCAAGTGGCGCGTGTGAATGACCCAATTAAGCTGAAGATAACCCGGCCTAAGCTTCGGCTTCGTAGGTGGCTTAAAACAACTCGGATGGATGGTCGGCCAAGAAGAAGAACAAGAAGAAGCGGCCCCAGAACCTGCCAGACGAACATGGCACAACAAAAAAGAGTTCACATCGAATATATCGAATGCGAAGTTTGAACTGTAAACAGGTTTACTTGGACTCACCTCGCTACGTCTGCTGCAGTTGGCTAGTACAGGTTAAACTCTATAACACAAATCATAGAATTTGATGTAAAACGTATTAAATTCTTCAAACTTATGTAACTTTAGATTTTGAAATCCATCTCAAAAAACTCCCTGAAAAAAAGAAGAAGATTAGCAAGTCAATTTTGATGAACTTTAAAATGTATTCATCACATTCGAATCTCCTTTTTTTTGTATAAATTGAAAAGTTACACCTCAATTTCCATATTACATAGCTGAAAAAAGAAAAATCAGTAAACTATTTACATATTGTATACTTTCTTGGGTCAAATCAACGCAAGATATGGCTGAAAAAACTTTATAAAATAAAAAACGTTTATAATTCCAGAAATCTCTATTATAACACAGGGGCTAAATTTGACAACTTTTGATCGGTTTTTAGGAGTATACATCAAATTAAAACAAAACATAAACATAACCGACTTAAATACTTCTAGGAAAAGATTTGAGTGTTAGGCAATATAAATTGTAGTTTCTGTTAACCAACATTCACTGTACTTGGCTTTATGTGTTGCTTTATTTTGTCAGGCCAAACTCCTTTTCAGCATTTTTGTATTAAATATTTCGCACCATGTTCTGCATTTATTCGGATACGAAAGATCTCCCGAGGCACCAGTCTCCAATCTTCAGTCTACAACTTCGACTCCAACTCCTTTAGTGTTACCTGTCTCTGTCTGACTCAGTGTTGCCGTCCTTTTCTCTGGCATATTTTGTCGTTGAGTCAGTTGGGGTCAATGCTGCTGCTCAACTTAACTCTTTGCTCACTCAACTCACTTTGCTCGGTGGCCAAAACAGGTTTCCGCTTTGGCTGAGCTTTTGTTGTAGTACGCTTTTTTCGGGTTTTTCTCCTGTGCAGCGGCCTCACCCACAGTCTTTAAGTTTTTTTTTTATTATTATTTTGATCCAATACCAATATATATATGTATATATATATCTGGGTTCCCAACCCCCGAGAGAAACATCCCTGCTGTCGCAAAACAGCCCTCGAAAACGAGCAATCGGCAACCTGAGACACTGGGAATGCGAGTGCACATGGAACTTGGGAATCGCTTTGGGATTGGCAATGGGGACTATTTGTTTCGGAAGGGTGGTGGAGGGAGGGAGGGAGAGCTGGAGCTCTGGAGTCCGGAGTCCGGGTTATCCCGAAGGTGGATGCCCCATTCCAGGTGTTCGTTCGCTGCATTGTAGCAGGCGCTCAGCTGCATTCACAGCTCGATTTAGCCATGGTCGCATGTTGCAAGTTGTTGCACCAGCAAACACACCAGCGCGAATCTTTCGCGAAAGGCCGAGACGGCAGACAGACGAAAGCGACTGGCATTTCTGCACCGGTTTTCCAGCCATTTTCCCCCATTCGAATTGGCCGCCTGTGCTTTCTTCCTTATCGCCTGTTTCGCTGCTGCCACAACTTGCTGCTGTTGCCGCTGTACATGTTGCTGCTGTGCATGTTGCCGCTGTTGCTTTTACTGCTGTTGCTGCTGCTTGCCGCTGCTGCTGTAGATGTTGCCGCAAATATTGTTGCTGCTGGCATCTTCGCGGTGGCAGCTGCACTTGCTGCTGGCCCCCCAAAGATGCGGATATCAATTTACTTAAACATTTCTGGCTCCTGGTACTGAAACTTTTATTTGAAAGCTTTAGCAGGTAATTCAATTTCTTCAAATAATTGTCAGTTTCCTATTTCTTAATAGGTAAATATTATAGTTTTGCTTGTTTAAGGTTAGAAATATATATTATAAAGTTAAATCTAGGAAATAGGAGTTGCGGATATTATATATCCTCAATTTCCTTTTAATGTTTGACTCGTGTTACTGGACTTCTTTATTAGTAAATAATTACTTAAGTTTATATTACGCAGATGTGTTTTTAACAACAATTCTTGAAAAGTTTTAGCTGGGAATAGTTTTCTAATTTATCCTAAATCTGGGAGTTTCCTACGTTGTCTCTTTTAAGCTAAACGTAACACTAAAAATCTAAGAAAATATTTATGTTTTATAGTACAAAATTACCAAACTTGTTAAAAAGATAATTAAGCCAAACATTATTTTGCTTGAGCTTCAAGGTCCTTGGCTACATTTGTATGGAATCATCTTGAGAGGTTTTTGAACATTAAGCAGCGCACCCATTTGCGATCAGCCAGAATCCAGTGAATTGTGGTCCGAGTGAGTTTGCTTTTGCCTTAATCAGCAGAAAATCGTATGCGAAATATATGATACAGATGTGCCCATGTAGGAGTATATATATATATATAGCACACTTTATGTAGAGTCTAGAGCTCTAGACTGTAGAGTCTAGACCAAGACCACATAAACGGCGTATCAATGGCGACGAAATGTGTACATCGCACATCGCACATGAACGGGCCAAGTATGTACAGTTTAAGAGAGCGAGGCAATACGAAATATAAACAAATAATTAACTGACATATCCGTATGCTTATCGCGCAACAAACCGCAGCAACAGCAACAGCAGCCGCAGTAAGAGCAGCAGAAGCAGAGGCACAGATACAGATACAATTTACATCAGATACAGATACGAATACGGATACAGATACAGGCACACTTTCGGGGCGAGAGCGACTCTGAAATTTGTATCTGACAAAATGCCATAATGAACGTGCTGAGTGGCGTCGCGGAACCAGATACTCATGCCCAGATACTTTAGCTCGTACACTCGTACACGTCCACGTCCAAAAAAAAAAAAAAAAAAAACCCGAGAGATAGAGATACTCTTCGTACTTGCTCGTTTGCCATTTTCTGTTGTACTTGCGTTGCGGCAGCAGCAACCGAATGTATCTACAACATCAAACGTGCGTTGCCTTTTGTCGTAGTATAAATTCATTTGAGATTCTTTTGCTTTTTTCGGGTTAATATAAATCAGTTTTTCATTTTGGGTGCCGAATGAAGAAGATTCGAAAATCTGCCGGCACGCTTTACGCATCTGTCAGATACTCACTCTGGCGCTGTTTAAGATACTTTCTGGCCCGTTAGTTAAGCAATCGTCCGCATCAGCGGGGCAACAAAATAAACAACAAAAAAAAGGGGTGGCTGTGGGTGGTGGTTTCGATTTGGTCTGGGCAAATCATAAAGTCCCTCTAACCCCCACC